ACATTGTTGAAGCTTTGGTGTACATTAAGGATTGGGATCGTTCCGACCAACACTTACACGATATAATTTCGCCGGCAAGTAAAGAATGGATCGATGAATTTAATAGATTAACTATTAATTTTGAAGACGATCCTTCAGCTTCAAATTAAATTCTATTATTGTAATTTGTAAATATTTATTTACTTTGTACAGTGTTATTGTAATCTTGTATAGACTTTGTAAGTTCGTAAAATTTATAATTCGTCCCAGAATGATTGCACTCCTTTTTCCTTACCAAGTTTTTATCCCAATTGGATTTTTCTTAATAAGATTTTTAATGAGACAATCATGAATTATAAATTCAAAAATTAATAAATAAATAATTTTTTTATATAGTTCGTGTGCATTTCAAATTTCAAATTGCAATCTCTCTGATAATTTTTGTATAATGTTTACAATAAATAACTTAAAAATTATTTATATACATACCATATACAATTAATAAACAAAATTATATATAATATATATAATAGTATATAAATATATCAAAAATATTAAAAAAATTAGGTCGGGCACCTCGGGCGGGCTCGGGCAGCCAAAACTTGCCCGAAGCCCGTCCAAAGGCTTGCTCGGGTCGGGTCGTGCAACCCAAAAATTCAACCTCGAGTGGGTTCGGTCATCGGGTAAAAATTCAGAATTTTCGGTGATCACGGGTGGCCCGTCCAATGTTTCAGCACTATATGCATATATACAGGTATGATTTTAATAGTTTTTCTAATATTTATCTTTCAATGAGTATTATTATTTAACTGTAAGATATTGATTTGATGGTTGTAATAAATTTGATAGTTGACTAAAAAAATATATGTTAATTAATAATATCAAATTTCTATATTTGATGATAAGGATTTTTTATACGAACACCCCCTCAACTTTTTAAATTTGGCAATTTAGTCCTTATTCTCTTTTTCATGACAATTGGCCACTTCAACTTTTAAATCTTTGCAATCAAGGTCCATTCGAAGACAATGTCTATTTTTTTTATGATTCTTATTATGTGACACGTACGAGATCATTTGTTGAGGGCAGCAAAGGTCATTTTTCATCATATTTATTCGATTTCAGAGTCATCTAATGTGTTCGAACACAATCAACTTTAGTAAACAATTCTTAATTTTCAAGAATTATTGTTCTCAACAAATGCTCAAAGGGTGAGAAATGACCTTTATTTAATGCTTTAAGAGACGCTGACATGGGCGTCACGTGATTAGAGTCATTAAAAAAAAACATATGCTTTTTTCAATTGGACTTTAATCGTAAAAACTTTTAAGTTGAAAGGACCAATTGTTAAGTTGCTAAATTTAAAAAATTAGAAAGATATCCATATAAAAAAGCCTGATGTAACTACCAATAAAAAACGTGACCTTTAAAAACTTTTACTTATTAAATCCTAATAGTAATAAAAAAGAAAGAATATATTAGTCATGAACTTGCCAGAAAGATGATTGTGTGATGGTTATGATCTGTTATTAATTCCTACTTTGTAAACAAAATTATTGCTGGGAAATAAATACATGTCATAAAAAGTATTCCTGGCTAATGGCTTTAATATCGATGACGATGGTTCGACAATGAAATCATGTGACTTGTACGACTAATATTAAAGTAGCGCAGCTGTAAATAACTAGTCATTTGAAGTTATGAGCTAGTCATGAACAAATTAGGAAACAGGAAAAAAAAAAAAAGGAGTATTGTGCATATAAATAAGTTCTTGGGACATTCTTTTGGCCTATAGTCTATAGATATGCGAATAGGCAATATGCAAAATGTCAGCTATTAATTATTAAGAGAATATATTGAATTTCGGTTGAGCTAGCTAGGATTATATTTATACATATATTAGAAATATCAACCGTGTTGGCTCCGATCCAGCCCGTTTAAATTGAGTCTACACATGTCTCGTGTTGTGTTTTGATCATATCATTTATTTATAAGAAATTTTAACGAATATCTCTTAAAATAATACCATTAAGGATTTTTGAGTTTCAACATTAACTTATTGAATTTTGCCTTATTAGAGTAATTAATTTGTCAAATTATTATTGATAATTTGATAGATATCGCCGGCGGCGGGATTAATTTGACATATTATTGTTAAAAATTTGATAAATTATTATCTATAATTTGATAAATTATTATCAAGTGAGTAGCCTATCACAATAAAAGAATATAACTTTAAAAAAATATGTTTAAGGGTCAAGTTTTATAATTTTCTCTTTATTTACCGTGTCATGTTATGTCTGGCCCATTTAATTTTTATGGTGTCAAGCCCGGCTCACAGCCCATTTATTTGTAAGCTATACCTTAACGTGCTTGGGCAGTGCTTATGTCCATACCTATACTCGTGCTTTTTGTCACGCTTTTATATATCATGCTCTTAATGTGATGTTTGTGGTGCAAAATAGTAAATTACATCAAATAAAAGAAAATCAACGTTGAACATAATGAAAACATTAAAATCTTAAAAAAATTATTAATTAAAAAAATTTTCTCATTAAAAACTTTACCTAGTTTGATTAAAAAATATTTACCCAGCAAAACCCACGGGATAAATATTGATAAAGAAATAAGAATACAATTATAAGTTATATAAAGAAATACATAATAAAAAAAGTAGTTTTATACATCATATTCACAAAATGGGCTCCTACATGCTTTTAACGTGTTTGTGCCTGTGCTCGTGCAGTGCCCTTAACGTGTTGTCCTCTTAACGTGTTTCGTGTCAAAAAGTTGCGCCAAACACGACCCATTTAATAAACGGAATGACCTAAATTCATTTAATAATTGTGTCTTTTCGTGCCGTTCTCATTTTTTAATGTGTTGTGCTCATACCGACCTACTAAGCCCAGCCTGTTTTGACATCTTTAATATATATATATATATATATATATATATATTATTGAATATATGCTAATCAGTGGGTTTATAAACCCATGGGTCCAGTGCTCTTGCAAACCAATTTTGTAAGGGTAAGTTCCTAATAATCAATATCAAAGTCAGTCCACCATGTCACTCTTCAAGTCAAAATAGTTATCTTTATGCATTGCTGAAGCTTGTTACGGATGGGGCAACCCTAAAGAGAGCTGCTACGTTCATGTGTGTGTATACACACACACGCATAAATATATGTGTGTGTGTGTGTATATATATATATATATATATACCTGCATTGTCAATTGGCTAGTTGAGCAGTTAAGGCTTTGGTTTTCTTGTTTTGTTTTGTGTTTTTTTTTTTTTTTTTTTTTTTCATTTTTGTTTTAAGCACATTTAAGGCATTAGTTAGTAAACCATAAATCAGAATTTGTATTTCCATCAAGCTGTAAGTACTGAACTACTGACTGGTTGGCATATATAAACCTCTATCGATAAAGGTTGGCGTGGTCTTTGCATTGCATGTGTGTTCTGTAAGAATTAATTATAAGGAAGTCATTAGCTTCTATGAGCAAAATATGGAAAATCCCTTACTTTGGGTGACTCTTTTTTTTTTTTTTTTTTTAGAGTTATTACTTAGTATGTCGATGTTCACTTGTTTTTGTTTATCTTCAAAAGACCTGACCTCTTGACCCCTCATATAAGGTGTTCTTGGGTTGTGAGGATCCTTTGAGTCTAGCTGCTAGTTTTTGTTTGGTGTTTGTCTTTTTTTTTTCTTTTTTTTTTTTTTGGTTGGCCATGCGTGACCCAGCCTGCTTGTTGTTCGTTTTGGTAGTCTTTGCTCCTCTATGAAATACTTCTCAAAAAAAAAAAAAAAAAAAGACAGGATAATTACTTGGAATAGACCCTTGCATGATTCTCTAGTATATATGGGATAAAATCATTTTGGTAATCTCTAATATAACAAAACATCTCACCGGTATCCTCACTTTTTAATAATATTAAAACGGTATCTTCAAATTTTAATTTTTAAGAAACAATTTTTTGGTAACCTAAGCTCTATTTTTAATACGCGAATGGCCACCGTGCTCTTACAAGTATTTTTTTCATATCTAGTTTCTTTTTATTTCATTTAATATTTTCCCAAACTACACTTTGGTAGAGCTAGTCAAACCGTGTACATGCGAGCTGTGGCTATTAAATTTGGATATAATTAACGTTTTCTTGAATATAGTATAATTAAATGAATTTCAACCGGGCAGAATACTTCAAAGTAGATCAGATTGCACATAGAGGGGCGCCCTTAGAACTTTTTATAGAAGTAACTTACATGTTTTGATAATTCTTGCTGTCCTACCTCCCCGCCATTTTCTGTCTATGGATAATTGTCCATTTCTCGTTCACATCATGAGTTGGAATAAAACAAGAAAAATGCTTAGGGCACCACTAATACTGTTAAATACTATCACTATTAAAAGGTAGGTCCCAGCTGTAGACCTCATGCCGTGCAATTCATTTTTTATTAGTTAGTAGTGCTCAACACTACTGGTACCTTATAATATTGTTTATAAAATGAATCAGATAGTCATAAAGACAGAATTTATGTGCACAAAGATGTTCCTACTTATATTGAGAGTGACCCCCGGAGAGAAATTTTTCCTTGCAAAACGCGGACATAAAATAATTGAGTTACACACACATAGTATTATTCTCATATATAAATATATGTTATGAATTTTTTTACAATATATCACACACTATGTACCCAAACTTTATGCTAAACTTGTAACACATACAATTGACAGTAGATAGTAGTAAACATGGTTATGAAAGAGCTCCCAAATCCGATTACAAACTTTAAGTTCCACCATCCGCAAGTATCAGATCCTTCCGTTAACATTCTTTAAGAATCTGCAAGACCCCAACTCTAATCTTAACATTTTAATACCAATCGACAAAACTGTGAGTTATCAGTAGCAAACGTTTAAAATTTTTTTTTTTTTCTAATTAATATTAAAAGACTGCATGTACCACTCGCTGCCATATGAGTTAATTTAAAAAATTGGGATCCCTTACATTACTCATTTGTTTTACGTAGCGAAACAGAAGCGAAATAGGATCTTCTGCCAACTTGAACCACTGGACCTATCCTGCATATATACAAGAAAATAAGGGCAGTGGTTTTAGTGAAATTTTAACTCAAAATGTTTTAGTGGAAACCAAAATCAAAGAAGAAGGAGAAAGTGTGATCTTATTATATAAAATTTAGAAACATACAGAAGCAGAACACACAAAACCCACAACAAATCCACCATAAGGACCTTTAGAGGAGGTAACACTGTGGTGTTATAAAAAATTTAGTTGATGAATATAAAAATGATTTGAAACCACTGTACTTACTGTATCTGATCTACTGATCTGATTAGCAATAGCTGATTTGCCTTTGGTTTCATTGGCTGATTTGCTCTTCTTGCCCTTGAATTTGGCTAATTCCTCCCTTGTAAGAGTGTCACTTCTGACAAGGAATGCTTCTTTCATCAGCTTCTCATCTCTCCCCATACTAAGGGAATAAATAAGGCCCGTCCCTTTATTACAATAACTTAGTTGTTTCTGATCTTGTCTAAAATCACTAAATTTCAAATTGGATATCTGATCAGTATTTTTATAGCTATTAATTGTCCCTTCAACTTCAGGACCACTTCCTTTTGCACCTTGATCATCATTGGCTTCAGTCCTTGCCTTGTTCTTGGGGTCATAACTTGAATAAGACTTCGCCAAATCTATCGAGAAGTACGCATCACTGAATTGGAAACTCGGGATCGTGCTCATATCTTCAGAGACTGCAGCAGGTAGTGGACTTTGGTGTAGAAATGGCTTCCCTGGATTTGGAGAAGTGTTACCAGTCTCTGCTTCAGTTTGATCAAGTGGACCAACACTGCAGTGGGTACTTTTTACATTTAGATTTTGTTTAGGACTATGTAGCCTAAAAACTGCATTTCTCTCAATAAGTTCTTGGTCATTGACACTCTCCTCATTGTGGCAGAGAAGTGCCTGAGTTACCAACTGCATTACTCCATCACCTTCACTACTGTGATCCGATGATCTGCGAATGCCTCGAGAATTTTTCGAAGAAGAATATGTACTCTCCCCATTCAAAGTGTTGGGAAAAGATTGCGTTCTTCGGTTAGAGATAGCACACAGGAGATGGGTATCGAATTCACAAATCTGACACCTATAAAGCCACCCATTGTAGCTCGGTTTGCTGCATATGTCACAGCTGAAGTTGTAAGGAGGCGAAAACGTGAGTTTGAGTTGGTGTGTGTGAGATGAAACCGAAACCGAAAGGGGCAGTGCCGAGCACAACACATGATAACAAAGGCTGCATTCGGAACAACTGTAGTAGAAGCCATTGACATGATCTCCACAAGCCTCGCATTTCAAGGTTTCGATAGAAGAGGAAGGTGAGATTTGGAGGGTCAAATGGTGAGTTGGATGGGCAGGGTGCTCTGTTTTTTGGGGCATGTTGTGACACACGTTGTGTAGGAAAAATGGACAAGTTTTGCAGGTGTAATAGTCTTTGTTACCTGATGATATATTGAGCCTGCAAGCGGCACATAAGATGTTTGCTTTGGGAGGTGAATTTGTTTGTTTCAATGGATGTTCATGGCTAAAGTGACAAAAGCTAAGCTTCTTCTCTATTGATCTTCTTTCCATTGCTTTTGTTCCTCCAACAATCTGATGATCTCCCAAGTATGATTTTCTTCCCTTTTCGGAATTTGTTAACTGATCCAACTCTCAAAAGTAATTTGGTCATACGACACTTGAAAAAATATTTTTCACTTTTGAGGCTTTCCAAGGGCTAAAATTGAAAAGACATAGTGTGGATAGAATTTAATTCTTGACAGATGGAGTCTTGTAACAAATGCTCACATTTGGCCGGCACATACAACCCAATAACTAGTACAGAAACTGACCCTTTTGAGCAGGCAATAGTTTTCTCGCCAAAGATGACCTTTTTTTTTCACTATTCCCTCTAGCTGATCATGAATTTCTTAAAAGTTCAGTTAAACCCAACTTTTTTTTTTCTTTTTCTATCTGAAAATTTTGAAGAAAGAAGTTTGTAGTACTGAGAAGACTTTTCATTGTTTTCATTGTTGGGGTGAGTAATTATATTGTTTTCCTTGAATAAGATTTATCATTAATAGGAATAACTATCTTGTAGTTGCCCTGAAAACAAGCCTGGTAAAATCCGCCATAGATGACAGTCATATATATATATATATATATGTATATATATATATTGATTGTTTACTAACTCTAGAATCTAGATAATTCTTTTAAGGATAGGCTTTGTATTCTCCATCTCTAATTTAGCTGTTATTTCATGGATTCAGTTGAATGGTATATATTTAATGCATTTGCCAACTGTCTTACAGCTTATAACGATCTTTATTATTATTATTATTTTTATTATTATTGTTTATTTATTGGAATTTTTGTTGAGAATTTGATTTGCATTTCAAAAGGAGGAGGCAATACGTTATTAAAGTGGTTCCTAATTATGCTTGTTGAAAATAAGAATTGGCTTTATTTGTGTTGATCTTATTTTATTAATTTCAGTGTGATTTTTATTTCTATTTTAAAGAAAGATACTGAAAAATTAAAATTTATGTTCCTGGTATAATAAGACCAATTGCAGTTGGTCAAATGTTAAAAATCCCAAGTTTGTACACTATGGACTTCAAAATCAAATGTGTTAAACTTGGTCTTTATTTTCTTCTTTTATCATGAAAGCATTAATATATCATAATTAGAGAATAAATTTTAATTATTTCATAATGTCATTCTCGTGATATCACTAACTGTGGAATGAAACTCTGAAAAGTGTAAGTTCAAGTGGCAATTACAAAAGCAATTTCATTGCGTTGACTTTGTCATACATCCCAAGTCAAACTTCTGACTTTGTAAATTCAAAACATGTACTCACTAGGGGGGAGAGTTGCCTTTGGGTGGGCGTTCTGGGTTTGATTCCATTTGTAATCTTTATTTCTTATTTACAAGATGACGCATGCTATAATATCTATTTTGTTGAAAAACAAAAAAATAAAAATAAAAGATAAAAAAAAAAAACCCGGGAATAATACTTCAATATTCCAAGATTTTTATGAAGGAATCATTTTTGTGGAGATACAAAAACATATCTCTTTCTCTCTCAATGACCTTTTAATTTATAATTCAAACAAGCTCACATGATTTCTTTTTTTTGTTTTGTTTTTGAATTTGAAGTGCGGATTCGAACATTAAATCTTATTAGACGGGTGTGGTTGCCTGCAACTATAATGATTTTTGATTAGTTGAAGAAAAATAAAAATCAAATTATAAAAGTTATAAGATGTATGGATGAGTGGATGGATCTTCATCAGCAAGAACGATATATAACATCATGAAGAAATCCTTTAATGCAATATTCATTCTTCTTGTTTTGTTTTGTTTTTTCTATGTTTTTTTGTTTTTTTTTTTTTTTTTTGCCTAAATTTGATGCATTATTTTTGGTGATCATCCATTGGTGCATTTGAGATATGTCTTGTACTTTTGACACAACGGCATGCATTTTTCATCAGAGGTCTCTTCTGTTGTTCATGTGTTAATCAAAACGACATCTCCTAGAAAATTTAAAAACGACATGTCATTTGTTGTTTAAAATTTTGCTGTTGTTAAAACTGAAACGCTTTCAAAAAAAAAAAAAATAATGGAAACGACATAATGTATAACGTTAAGTTTCTTGTCGTTACACTGAAACGACGACAAGTTTTCCTTTTAAGTGTTTGATGCCTCTCAAGTCTCTAGTAAAACACAGCGTTTCGTGTTATAAGTATTTTATAGAAGTTTACTGTAAACATGATATTATCCCAAGAGAAAAAACATTAAAAAAAAACGATATTAATGTTTTTATTGTAAGAGGTCTATGTCGTTCACTCACATGTAGTTTACATGTTTATTTGTGTGTGTTTGGAACCATTTTTAAAACGGTTTTCACGTATTTTGAGTAGCAAAAAATGAAAATGAACGTTTTTAAAACGGTTTTCACGTATTTTGAGTAGCAAAAAATGAAAATAAAAACGAAACGATGTTTGTTTATCAAATATTTTGAAAACGAAAATAGTGAGAATAATTTGTGTGAAACAATTAGAAAACAGTTAAAAATTATTTTCACTATCTTTTTCATTTTTCTGTACTTATTAATAATATTATAATATATTAATTAATAAATACGATTTTATTTTTCTATTATACTCAAAACAATCTATTAAAAAATCAACCAAATACAATTTCAGAATCGGTCTCAGAATGATTCTCAAAACAATCTCATTTTTACTTTTTATTAAAAATAAAATCATTTTAAAATCATTTCCAAGCGCACCTTTTGTTTTTTTTGTTTTTTTGTTTTCATGTTCTTTGCTCCTAAAATAAAGTGATTTGTTGTTTTCTTTTGAAAGATTACTCTCTAATTGCTATAATTACAACTAAGCAACTACATAATATTAATATTATTATTGTTGTCGTTGTTGTTGCTGTTTTTTACGTTGTCGCTATCGACACTCAAATTGGATCTTTTCTTCTACATAAAAGTGCTTGGAGAAACACTGATTTGAAAATTTGTTTTTATTCATTAGACAACTAATGAAATTTAAATAGAACTTAGAGAATAAATAGACAAATAAATTCTTACAGCTTTTTTACAATTAAAATTTTACAGCTTTAATCCTTCTAGTAATTTACATGGACCTATCCAGTGTGACTTCATTTTGTCTATTGCTTTTAGAACAAAACAAGAACAGAAACAAAATTGGAGTCATGTAAATTACATGATCAATCTATGGATCAGTATTTTTGTGGATACTGAAAAATGATTTTTTTTTTTAATCATGAAAAATAATAAGAGTTTATGGTTTGTCTTAAATTTAAAAACAAACTCTTAAAAAGAATACTTCGGGGTACAAATAGATTGGTATAATTTCTACAAATCCGTTTTATATGAGTTGTAGTTGTAGTGTTGGACACGTGGATTGCTCCTATGAGAAGAAAAAAAAAAAAAAAAAAAAAAAGTCAGCCTTAAATTAATTTGCAAAATTTTTTACCATTTGTGATTCTATGATATGTTTGTGTGTGTGTATTAATTGGATTGCTAGAAGACACTTGATGATTTTCTTTTGCTTTTTTTGCCTACACTTAATTCAGAATTATTCTCGTTTTATGTGTGTTTTTTTAAGAGAAAATTACTATAAAAAATCATAAATCATGATTCAAAATCATTGACGACTACAGAAAATAAACATCTAATCTTAAGTCTCTACGGTGACTAAAAGATTTGTACTTGCCACTTAATTTACTGAGGAGTTTATAACACTTTGTGGCTTGTTATGTTAAAAAAGCTATGTTTAATGACCGAATTACCATGGTTTTTTTTTCTTTTTTTGTTACATGAATACATATGAAAATGCTCATGGTTCTTAAATTGAATTTGGTGCATTGTTGATTCCAAAAGAGCTCTACTATTAAGTGTAATTAGAATAGCGACCTTGTGAGAAATTTTCATGCTACACCGCTCTTTATCAAAAATATCAACAAGATGTCTTGAGGACCAAGAATAGGGCTTGAATAATAAATGTCGAAAGACTTTTAGACTTTAATTTTTAATTTTATTTTTTATGAACTTCAGTATTACACTGAAATTGTAGAGTAATTAAACACTTTTTTTTTTTTTTTTTTGTCAGCCTTATATGAAATTGCAATGTAGATATTAGCTGGCGTTAAATAGAATATCTTCATGGAAACATCCAAATAATTTCGTCAAATATATACTTGCAAAAGTTGAAAGGTGTATAAGAGTAATCAATAGGGCGTGAACTCTCACCCAACCTTCTTTCACTCTCTCTTTTAGGCCGGCTTTTTGGCTTGTCTCAAAAATTATATAAAAACATAATACAAAACACAAATACACACACACGTTTATTTCAATGTTTATCATCTTTTGAAGTAATTTTCGAAGAACCCCACATAGACTTGAAATTTTAAAATATGAGTACATCAAGACAATGGATTCTTCTTTCTCGTCATAGGTTGAAAAATAATAATTTAATAGGTTCTATTTAAGTACTTATTCAAAATTCAGATTTTGGTTAGATTCTATTGAAGGAGCTGATTCTTCTTGTATTTAGTGATACGTCTGTTCTTGGGAAAGAATTCATTCTCTTGTAAATGCCACTGAAATTTCCTTCTTGTAAATATCATTTTCATTGACTTTAAATATTTCAATCTTGTCTTCTGCGCAACCAAGTTGCCATCTGAATAATTTTAGCTGAATATATGAACAATTGAATATATTTGTGAATAATGGCATAAGCCTTACTGTTGATTAGCCGAAATATATATACAGTAATGATGATACAAATAATGGTAAGTTTCCTAATACACCGAATCTCCTACAATCAAGGTAATGTACGTAATCTCCTACAATCAAGGTTGGTTATTACAATTGATTTACAAATAATATATATTGAAGGAAGATATTTACGTATCCTTAATAGAATACACATATATATATATATTAGGATTTGATAAGGAATAGTTCAGCTAGTTGTTGCCAACCTAGTCGGAATCATGGACGAAAATTTGGCCAAAATTTCTGAAATTTTGATAGAAATTTTGGATTTTTGAGGTTCCCTTTTTTTTCACCATAATATCGATATCGACAAAATATTGAGAAAAATATCAGTCGAAATGTCGATATCAATTTACATACAATGTAATTGGGGCAGAATATCGAGAAATTTCAGAAACAAAAATTTTAAAAGTTTTTTTTTTGCTTTTTTTTTTTAAAAAAAATTACTTTATAATATCAGTTTTTTTTTTTTTTTTTGCGTTATTTCTTTTTCATCTACTAAGGAGAGAGCTAGAAATATAAAAAATGCAAACATCTGATGAAGATAATCTTTCCATAAGTTTACAATCAATGAATTTAGATTCCAATTATTACAACCCTTCCATCGAGACTCCTAAGGTTTTTTATCCATCTAATCATAATTTTAGAAACTATGATGGATATTGGATATGGAATTTTCAGTTATCCTCTTTCAAACATTTGAATCTAGACGTTTGAACCTCATAAAACTTTCTTTGGTATTAAAAAAAGTAATATGTATGAAGTTTTTTTTTATATGTAAAACTTTTTTATTTATGTATCTTTTTAATTTTTATGCTATAAGAGAGTATTAAAAATATGTTGTAATGTAAATTTGCATAATTTATGTATTTTTTTTTATATTTCCACCGATATCGATATTTTCTCCGATAATTCCGTAACATTGGAGTACCGATATTTCCACTAATACTGATATTTTCATCTTTGGTCGGGATGTGTTAGTTGTTTTTTATATCAATTATCTTTTCTTATTATTTATCTAAATGGACGAATTTTTAATGGTTACGTTTTCATCATGGTTACCACTAAATTTAAAAATCTGATGACATGACGTGATAAGAATCTAATTCCATTAATTGTCATCAATTTTTTTGATCAACTATATAATTTATTATAACCGTCGGATTAATATTTTACAACTAAAATAATAATACCTATTGATTAATAAATATTAGAATAACCATTCAAACCACACCTTTACCCAAACATATTACATACTTTGTTTATATTTTACCTAACATACAAAAGTGAGAAGATAAGTATTAGACGTAGCATCGACGACGTAGACGCGTAACAATAAATGTCTGTGTTATTGAAAAGTCGAATAAGCAATTAATCTGGCCCCATCTGTGGAAGTAGATTAAACTGACTTCTATGACAGCTACTAAAATTATGGTGAATATTGAATATGTCAAACTGTACGTTTGATGATAAGTTCATCGCATGTTTGTCTCACGTCTTTATTATACTCATTCAAACACGTTAGAAATGGAAGAAGGAGCTAGGAAGTACCATACCTTGGTTTCTTATGATACAAGTAACTAAGTTAAATTCATTATAAATTATAATCACCTTACAACACATACTTTTCTTCCATTACTTTTGAAGCTTTGCCTTGAAACTCCCACTCCAATTATTGTTAATGGGCAACCTTTGTTTTTCTCTGCTGCTAACTACAATCTTTTTTCTGGCCCTCTTTAGTGGTGCTCTTACCAAAGTGGAATGCTTGAATTTTTCTTATCCAACATTTCAGGAGGAAGATGAAAGTCAATTCATTCGCTACAATTCCGACGTTACTTTTCATGCCTTCCAAGTTACACCAGATCTCAGTGATTATAAAAAAATCACTAATCAATCAGGAAGATTATTGTACAAACAACCATTCAATCTATGGAGGAAAAAAGGTAATAAGAAGGCCATGGCTTCTTTCAATTCCACCTTTGTGCTCAACATCTCTCCCTATTCTGGAAAGTTTGTCCCACTCGGTGAAGGATTGGCGTTTATCTTAACCGCGAATCCCGGTCTTCCTGACCAGAGTCAAGGGAAATGGCTTGGGATTGTGAACAACACAAGTTCATTGTCTCAACAAGGAATTATAGCAGTAGAGTTTGACACAAGGAAGAGTTTTGACGAAGATATTGATGACAACCACGTGGGATTGAATCTGAACAGCATCTACTCGATCAAACAAGTATCCCTTACCGATTATGGCATTAATCTTTCAAGCGGAAGCAATGTGACGGTACGAATTCAGTATGATGGGAAGAACATGAGTATGTTTGTCTGGCTTACAAATGAAGAAGGGAAGACCATGAACAATCCGGTATTATCCTGGCCTCTGAATCTCTCAGACTATCTTCCGGATAAGGTCTTTGTGGGATTCTCAGGCTCCACGGGCGAGGACAACACCGAGAGGAATTGCATACTGTCATGGGATTTCCACAGTTCAGATATTGATGAAAATCCTAATCTGTTGTGGGTTTCGATTGTTGTCCCAATTGTAGTAGTTTTGCTAGTTTGTGTTGCCTTTTACTTGTACTGGAGAAGAGCATGTTCTAAGGAGGATCCAGAAGAGGCATATCCGAGGATAGAAGAACAGATTAAAGAATCTTCCATGGCTCCTAGGAAGTTCCAGCTGAAAGAGCTTAGAAGAGCAACAAGCAACTTCAACCTCAAGAACAAGCTTGGAAAAGGTGGATTTGGAACCGTCTATAAAGGATTGATTGGAAATCAGGTGGTAGCGGTTAAGCGAGTCTCGAAAGATTCCCGTCAAGGACAGCAAGAGTTCATAGCGGAAGTCACCACAATTGGCAGCCTCAGCCACAGAAACCTGGTGAAATTAATTGGATGGTGCTATGAAAGCAATGAGCTCCTCATTGTCTATGAGTTCATGCCAAATGGAAGCCTAGACAAGTTCATATTCGGCGACGAGAAGCTTGGCACAGAGATGCAAGAATTAAGCTCGAAAAGGAGGCACAGCATAATATGCGGTGTGGCTAAGGCGCTTGATTACCTGCATAATGGTTGTGAGAAAAGAGTACTTCATAGAGACATAAAAGCCAGCAACATAATGTTGGACTCAGAATTCAATGCCAAGCTTGGAGACTTTGGATTGGCTCGTATGATTCAACGAAGCGAGAAGACTCACCACTCAACAAAAGAGATTGCAGGGACGCCTGGCTATATGGCTCCCGAATCTTTCCTCACTGGGAGGGCCACGGTGGAGACAGATGTTTATGCATTTGGAGTCCTTGTGTTGGAAGTTGTGAGTGGAAGAAAGCCAGGAAATCAGAATGAGCAGAACAGTTTCAACAACAGCATGGTTTGTTGGATATGGGAGCTTTACACCAAGGACAGGCTTCTTGATGCTGTCGACACGAGACTGGATGGACAATTCGAAGAGGATGAAATGGGGTGTATTATGGTCTTGGGATTGGCCTGCTGTCATCCAAATCCACATGAGAGACCTTCCATGAGAACTATATTAAAGGTTCTTAAAGGGGAAGAAGATCCACCAATGGTGCCTGTAGAAATTCCGTCCTTTGTCTGGCCATCCATGCCTCCGTCATTCAAATCGGACGGTGAGACCACTCTGCAAGGAGGACAACTTACTCCATTCACTGAGATCACTGGAAGATGAATCAGAAACAAGGATATGCATTGAACATTGTTGAAAATAATTATTCAAAGTTAGGATTTAATTGTTACTTATTGTATTTAGGGGTGTTAGTTAGAATAAAAGATAAGATCCTGCGTGATCTTCTCTTTGGTTTCTGCTTCCTGATTTTTAGGAACTGAATCGTGAGTTTCCTAGATATTTTCTTCTTCCACCGTGTATATATGTATACTAGTTCTCTGATCTGAATAAGAAAAAGAGTTCTCACGTTTTTCTTCAAACATTGTTATTTGGTCTCTACAATTTCTTTTGCTTCTGTTGAGTGAAAAATGCTTGTGCCCTTGTAAATACATCAAATTTGTTAAGCTTATAGATAGATCTTGTCCATGTGAAGAATGGAATATTGGCTAATTTAGTTTGGAGGAAGCATTGGACAGCAAAACCTGCAGTCAAGTACTATTATTAGGATTGAGTCAACCAATATTGTTTGATTGAATTGTAGATATAAGAAAATCTTTTATCATGTTATATGAGAAAATGTTTGTAAAGTACTAAACTTTTTATGTCTCTCTCTTCCTGCTGTTTTTCTTCTCCATCTTTCTTTGATCATATTATATGAGAAAACCAAAATTTTGCGTCTTGAACTTTAAGTCGATTAGCACTTCCATTCTTGAACTCTTTTTCTTGGCAATTTAATCCTTGCGTTTACAGAATAGTAGCAATTAACTTCAACCATTAACAAAGTTTAAGTTTTGAATAGAATAATTAGTTTAACACCTGTACTCGACGAGCTTCTCGTAGGTTGGTACTTTCCTTCCAGAAAATTGCATTTTTTTTTTCTTACCAGTTTAGTTACTAAATGAACTAGTCCCAGAATTTCCTAAATTTAACTCTTATTAAATTACTACTCCTTTGGGAAATTAGGGAACTAAATTTCCAAGTAAGAAACTTAAACGACAAAAGTGTCTAATAACAAAATGTTTAGGAGAAACAATTACTAAACACCTTTTTTAAATAAAAAAAAAATGAAAGATTTTAGTGAGACAAAGGAAGGAGATATCTAGCACGCAACTGTGGCAGTAGATACAAGTCTGACTGAATACAATATTATCAGGGGAGAAATGTAAAATAAGCTTTTGATGGAGATATTTTCCCAATGACATGAATACATGTGAAAGATGTTTAGCCAAAAAAAAAAAATCTGAATACACGTGAAAGATGACAAGGTGTAACGGTCAACAGAAGTACCAGGAAACCTTTCTTTCACTTGCTCTTGTAAGCCAACCTGACTTGTTCTATTGTAATTGAAACTTGAAAAAGTATAATACAAGAGATATACAAATAATATATATATACATATGACGCGGGCATATATATATATATATATATATATTATATATATATATATTACATATATATATTATATATATATATATACACACACATATATACACACATTGATGAATATAGTTTAAGACTTTATAGTTCTTGAAAGAAGCTGCTACTTCTTGTATTTAGTCATATGTCTTCTTGTATTTAGTCATATGTCTGCCCGACTAACGTTTAGTTCATGCATTAGAATCATAAGATTAGAACCATTTTCGATTTACGTGTATTTTTTATGAGAGAAAATACTGTAGCGAATCATGAACCATGATTCGAATCGGGGAACGAATCCCTCAACCAAACAACCCCTAAAATTCATTCTGTTGTATACTTCTTAATTAGTCAAATGAAAGAGTTTACTAAGTAAATTCTTAAACAAAAAATTGATCATATAAAATATACCACTCTCTTTAAACCAGTCTTCAGATGTAGTATGACACAGCATGACATACTTGAGAAGTTCTGCTGAGTTTTATATCTGAATTCTGAAATGATCAAAGTTTTGAAATGTTGACGAACAACCGCAACGATGGCGAATATATAGATATAAATGCAGAGTTTTGCTCCAAGTTCATGATGTATTTTTCCTAATTACTTTCACTCGTTAAACTACACTAAAATAAGAGAAAAAGAGGAAATAACCAAGTTTCTTAGCTCGTATTATACAAGTAATTACGTTCACCTTCTTCATTTATGGTTCATCTCCAATTCTCGTTCATTTTCTGCATTTTCTGCATTTTTCATCAGCCACTAACAGGAATCTTCATAGTACCCCTCTGGTGCAATAGTGCTAAGAATACCAACTCTGACCCCAATTTTTTATACCAACTATGAATTTTTATTTTTTTATATACCAACTATGAATTGTCATTAGGATTGTCACATTAAAATATTGTGTTTATCAATGAATAAATGACAAGTCGAAACTGATATAAAAGAGTGTCCCTAACAGTTCTCTTTGTAAGTATATAATCAAGTTTCTTCACATAATTAAGTCGCATCCACAGTAATGAAGGATTTCTGTGTATAGATCTAGTAACTAGGTTGTTAGAATCTTTACAGAAGGCAACAGAAATTTTGCACGAGTGTTTCAAAATTCACACAACTGCCAGTAATTTTCTATAACTGCATTTCTTTTGCCATCCCATCCAATTTAGTTTTACATTTTGTGCATAAATGAACAGAGATAAAAGAAAGGACATTCACCTCAGAAGAAAAGATAAGAAACTTGACGAATTTTCATCCAATACCAAGGCAACTTTAATAAATAATAAGCAGAGATAAAACTATTACTATCAATCTCAAGATGAATCCAAGTTTCAACATCAGAAATGATACTCTACAATAAATACATGACCCTACCTTAAATTTCTTAATCCCCTTACGGGAAAACACCACGGTAGGAGATAACAAATTTGGAATTTCTACTTTCTAGACCAGATCCCTTCTCACTATAAAAACTAAAAGAAAAAAGAAAAAGCGTTTACGCCAGAATTAAATTAATAACTATTTTTACGAATGATCAGGAAAAGTAGAAAAGAGAAAAAGAACTCAGACATCGACTTGCAACGTCAAATCATGTATGCCCAATTCGTGGTACAAACCATGCACATATTGAAGAATTGGTCGCTCATCCATCCCTTTTTTTGCCTGCAAGCATTAATTATCAAAATCAGCCATTCAATTTCATTTTAAGTGTTTCAAGAGCAAACTAGCAAATCACTAAACGAGCTTATAATCAAGATGAGGAATATCATAAATAATTCTGCAATCAGCATTATTATTGAACACATATAAGCGGTATTTTTAATTACGTCACCTGTATTGAGAGTGAACCAACAACATGACCCGGAACCAATTCCCAAAACCGAGCTTGAGAAACTTCAGATACCTCTTCGTGGGATGTAATCTAAACCAGAATATTAAGAATTATGTTAAGAACAAATAAATTAAAACCCGTTACTTCTACAATATGGTATTTAGTATAGGATTAGGTAGAAATACAAAAAAATCACCTGTCTCCAGCATTTAGTTAATGCAGAAGGTGGAATGCTTGGTGGAGCCATTTGGAGCAAGATACCACCAGTTGCTCTGAAGAGTGGCATGACAAGCATAAAAACTGCAACTGAAACTATACCTAAACACAAAACTTCAGCATTTTGAACCCTGCAAAAAGAGGTAAAAATGAGGGAGGAAAATAACAAGATGTTGGAGACTGCAAATGAAGCAGAAATTACCCGAGAGATAATAACCAGGATGCCAATATCAAACCTGCACTGAGACACAATTGACACAAACCAACTTCAGATAGATATGTGTGCGAAGTAAAATTAATACAAAGGAGGTGAATTCATGAATCATTCGTCCATGGAAGCCACTTTTGATTGTAGAGAGATAAAGAGAGAGAGAGATGGACACCAAGGTAGTATGTTATACCTGCGAATGGAATCTGCAAGAACGTGCAGGCAAACTGAATGGTAATTCATATCTTCAGCCTTTCTGTATGCTGCAGAAGATACATAAGGGAATAAGAAAACCACCATCTTTAACATAAGATGCAAGAGCAAGAAGGGTTTGTTTGTTTGGTTATGGGAATAACTTAAACGAAAGTGCCGGCAAACAAATAGTAATGGCTCAGTTTTAAACAATAATAAACTACTTACTATCTGGATCCTAGTGCCACGTATTTTAGGAGTGCACTTGCATTATTTGATTTCTGAAGTTTCTCAGGGACTAGATTTCAACAGAAAACTTAGGCATTGGCTTAGGTGGTAAAGAGATGAAATGGGCGGGCCTAGATAAATTTTACTTCAAGAAACATAGCTGTGACGTGAGGAAAGAGTACATATACATAATCTGTTGCTTACTTAAACCCAAAAGTAGCTCGTTCAGTAGAACATAGCTTTTCAAGTAGTGGATCAAATAAAAGGGAAAGCAAAGTTCAAAATGCCGAGAAGAAAAGCAGGTTCAGACAATGGACCACAAAAGTATCCTCACTGAATTAAAAAACTTAAGAAAAAGAAAAAGGGAAAAAAAATGTCGCGCTGCCTGAGGAACTTACTAAGATTTATACGCGCGTAATGCCTGAAGAACCAGACACCAATAAGGTTCACCAGTAGATTCGTCACTGCCGAAACAATCAAGTAATGCCTACAGATTGAGTTACAATTAACAGCTAGACAGAATTCTTGCATCAAAATAAACCAAAGCAACAAAATGGAAAAATACAAACTTCAAAGTATAATAATAAATCCACCCCTCGTTGTTCAGAAACTAAATGCTTGCTCCATGCACAGATAAAATTTTCCACAACTAAAACTCACTCACATTGAGCAACTAAACCGGAACCACAGACTGACTAAAATGTAATGACTTCTAAAACTCCTACTCAAATTTGTTTGTGTATGCTAAGTAAACAAGCATGCAGTACACGAGCAATTTAGCATATGCTGTTTCCCAAAATATTTATGACTTCAGTTTCTTTATATCTGTCAATGAATAAAAATAAAGATGGCTCTAAACATGTTTCTGTTATAACCTTTGGGTAGAACTCATCCCTAAAAGTTAGCTTGTAGGAAGAGGGTGCTCAAGTGGTTATAAACCCACATGCTAAGCCCATATTTTAATAATGTGGGATTCAACTAGGATCATAACATACCACCACGCTTCCGACACCGACGCCCACGGCGGCCCACTCTGGTCTTTCCAGGTCGCCCCTTCCGCAACGTGGGCCTGAGGAGGAGCATGCTCTGATACCAATTGTTATAACCTTTGGGTAGAACTCATCTCCAAAAGCTAGCTTGTAGGGAGAGGGTGCCCAAGTGGTTATAAACCCACATGCTAAGTCCATACTTTGACAATGTGGGACTCAACCAGGATCCTAACATATCATCACGCTTCCGACACCGACGTCCACAGGAGTGATTGTAAAGGGGAGAGAGCTGGACCTCTTGAACGTCCATGCGAGCTTGTAACGGTGCTTGGGAAAAACCAGTATCAATACAAAGTGTTTTTCAGTCTAATTCCTTCTTGATTTCTTGTTGTATCTATTGATTCTTGTTATTCCTAGCGTGTGCTTACCAGTTTCCAAGCCAAAAGCAAGTAATTACTAACAATGAACAACGAAAGAAAGAAAAACCAAATCATTTGGCAAGAAGAATAATGAAAGCAAAGAGGACAGTATGAACCCAGGAATCTAAGTATTTGGAACGTAATAGAAGGCGTGGAAAAAAAAGTGTCCATAGCATAATCAAAGATAAAGACCCTTGGAGGGTTAGCATGGCCAACTTACTTGTGTTCAGATTCATCTTCTATGAATGCATGAAGTGCTTCCACTGCCAGAGAGAATGCCATAAACAGAAGAAACAGCTGTCTACACACAGAAGAATTCAACAAGTTCATATATTAGCTACACACAGAAGAATTCAACAAGTTCATATATTAGCCCAAACGAAGCAACAAACACGGGAGAAAATTACTTCAATTATCAGTAAAAAAGGATTTTTTTACACACGGAACATGATCTTCAAAAATGAATGAAATGAGACGAAATTAATTTCATCTTAAAAAAAAGAACTTATTACAAGTAGGCCGTGCAACACGTTGATCTAGAACTAAAGCAAACAACAACAACAATAATAACAAGCCTTAATCCCAACTTAATTGGGGTCGGCTATATAGATTTCACTTTTCCATACAGCTCTCTGTTCGAAATTATACTTTCCTGAAAGCCTAGATCTAGAATGTTTTTGCTAATGACTTCGGTATAAGTAATTCTTGGTCTACCCCTCCCTCTCCTAGTATTAGGCAAAAGAATATCCTCCCAAGCACGAACTGGTGCTTCTAACGGTCTACGTTGGACATGCCCGAACCACCTCAAGCAGCCTTCGCACACCTTATCTTCTATTGGTGCTACACCTACTTTACTACGAATAACTTCATTCTTTATGCGGTCCATTCTCGTATGGCCACTCATCCATCTTAACATATGCATTTCTGCTACTCATCTTAGATATATGTTGTCTCTTAATAGCCCAACATTCACTACTATATAACATAACTGGGCAGATTACAGTCCTATAGAACTTTCCTTTTAAGTTAATAGGCATCTTGCCGTCACATAAAACTCCCGTAGCATTCTTACACTTAACTCACCCTGCCTTAATCATATGTTGAATATCCTCTTCTATATCTCATTCGTGCTGCACTATAGAACCAAGGTACCTAAACTTCCTAGAAGCCCCAATCTCCACACCATCTAAAGAAATTCTATCACTCTGATTACAATGCATGTATTCAGTTTTCGTCCTACTTAACTTAAATCCTTTCATCTCGAGAGTCTGTCTCCACAGTTCTAACTCTGTTTCCACAGTTCTAACTTATGGTTAACTCTTTCCCTATGTTCATCAACTAAAACTATATCATTCGCAAAAAGCATACACTAAGGAACTCTATCTTGGATTTCTCTTGACAGCTCATCCATCACGATGGTGAAAAGATAAGGACTAAGAGCAGATCCTTGATGAAGGCTGATCCGAATGGGGAACTCTGTCGTGTAGCCTCCAGCAATTCTCACACTCGTGATCACCCCATTGTACATGTCCTTAATTACCTTAATATACCTCACATGCACTCCTCTCTTTTCTAGCACCCACCATAAAACATCCATCGGCACCCTATCACGTCTTTTCTAAATCTATAAACACCATATGTAAATCCGTCTTGGTTTCTCTGTACCTTTCCATCAGCATCCTAAGAAGAAAAATGGCTTACGTGGTTGATCTGTCTGGCATGAAGCCAAATTGATTACGTGAGATGGTAGTTGTGGCCCTTAATCTCCTTTCGACAACTCTCTCCCAAAGTTTCATAGTATGGCTTATTAACTTTATGCCCCTATAATTGTTACAATTCATCACATCTCTTTTATTCTTGAAGATGGGGACAAGAATAATTTTCCTCCATGCATCAGGCATATGCTTCTTCTTTAGTATCTCATTAAAAAGCTTAGTGAGCCACACAATTCCAACATCTCCTAACGTTATCCAAACCTCTATTGGAATATCATCTGGCCCACATGCCTTCCCATTTTTCATCTTCCGTAGTGCAGTTTTAACTTCTGAAACTCTGATTCCTCTTGTATACATCACATTAGGTTCTCCTTGTGACCTAAAATTGTCAAACTCTATCGCATGATCATCATTATAAAGCTTCTCAAAGTAACTCCTCAACCTTTCCCTAATATCTTTATCTCTTGTCAGAACTTGATCCGTATCATCCTTAACACACCTCACTTTATTTAGGTCATGACACTTCATTTCTCTTATCTTAGCTAGTTTATATATATCCTTCTCTCCTTCTCTAGTCCCAAGTTTCCTATATACCTCATCTAAGTAAGTAGAACAAGCCTTACCAACTGCTTGCTTAGCTTCTTTCTTCGCTTCTTTGTACTTATTAAAAGTTTCAACCTCCTTACGCTTTGGTAAGTCTCTATATTAATCCCTCTTGGTCCTAATAGCCTTTTGAACTTCCTCACTCCACCACCAGGTTTCTTTCTCAGGGAGGCCTTTACCTCTAGATTCCCCTAGTACCTCCTTTGCCACTTTTCTAATGCAGCTGGCCATGGCATCCCACATAGTATTTACATCACCTACATATGACCAAGTAGCCTCATTTAACAACTTCTCTTTAAAGGCCAATTGCTTTATTCCCTTCAAATGCCACCAACGAGTTCGTGGGAGGTGGTTTATCTTAATCCTTTTATAGCAAAGCTTAATGCTCACATCTAAGATCACTAACCTATGTTGGGTGACTAGTACTTCTCCAAGAATTACTTTACAATTCTTATATAAAGAATGATCTCTATACCTAGTGAGAAAATAATCTATCTGGCTTAAGTTCCTTCCATTCTTAAAAGTTATCAAATGAGAATCTCTTTTCTTGAAAAATGTGTTTGTTATGATAAAATCATGTCCCAACGCAAATTCCAAAATAGATTTCCCTTCTTCGTTTCGAGCTCCAAAACCAAAACCACCATGGATCCTTTCGAAATTTTCCCTATCCTTACCAACATGCCCATTGAAATCTCCTCCAATGAAAATGCTATCCTCATTGCCTATACGACACACTAAGTCATCCATGTCTTCCCAAAACTTGACTTTAGTTTCCACATCCAATCCTATTTGTGGAGCGTAAGCACTAATTACATAGATGGACTTATTTCCTAGTACCAATTTGAGCATAATAATTCTATCCCCTATTCGCTTAATCTCAACTACATCATCATTTACAGTTTTGTCCACTAGAATACCAACTCCATTGCGATTCCTTTCCCAACCTGTATACCATATCTTGTGTCCTAAATTTTCAATCTCCTTTGCTTTCTTTCCTGTCCACTTCGTTTCCTGTAAGCATAAAATGTTAATTCTTCTTCTTACCATAACATCTACTAACTCCATAAATTTACCAGTTAAAGAACCTACATTCCAACTACCTAAACGAATTTTCCTATCATGGGCTAGCTCTGCCCCTTGCACACGTCCATGAATGTGCAAAAACCAAGGGAATTGCAAACCACCGGGTATGTTGACCAAGGCAATTGCAAAAACCAAGAAAATTCAAAATCAAGGCAATTGCAAGTTGACCACCGGGTATGTTTTATAATTTGTCCTACAACCAGATATTTAACAAATATTTTAACCATTTAAAGCTTTTTCACCGGTTTTAGACAAGAAATACATACTATTGAGCCTTGAGCCTCGAACTATGGATAACTATAGTTTCATTTTCTTTTCAATTCACAAGATCTTAATAGCAGTATATCTCTACACTCATATAGCATAATTTCGAACAACACAATAGTTGCCATATTCCCATATTAAAAGAGACAGGAAAGGAGTGCAGATCTTAGGTAAAACGCGAAATACTTACAGCATTGGTAAATGCAGACAAAACCTCAAGCCGCTTATACCTGGAGTAGAGAATAGTCAGATTACTGTTAAACCCAAAATTGTTGCTCAACGAAATGGTACATAAAGCAGCTTCATTTAGCCAACCCAACAAATATTTAACAATTCAAGAAATATTCACGGGTCAGAGAAATTAATATTACCCATAAGTGTAAATTCCATCAGGCTTTCCTCGAGAAGCAGCCATGGCAAACAATGAGAACGTCAACAGGCCACAGCCGAATGTTAAATGAAACGCATCGGACACCAATCCTAAAAATATGATATAAAATCCCACAAAAGCCACAAAATTCAACAATAGAAAACATATAAAACAATAATAATTACAAAAATTAGTTGAAAAAGAATTGCCAATTTCGTACCAACACGACCCGTCAAAAGGCCAATACACAACTCCGCGGTCGAATACGCCACATTAAGCGAAATCAACACAAACAGCCTCTTCATATACCTATTCCCGGACCTCATGGTTCGAAACACCGAAGCCAAGAGCAACAGAACCGAGAATTTCTCGCCGGAAACTTCACGTTCGCCGAAAAATTTCACATTTTCTTCCTCCGCGTAGGCCTGCGGCGGGATATCGATACTGGAGACGGTCCGAGAAAGGAAAGACCTCGCGCAGCCGTCGTTGAGGCTGTTGGAGATCGGCGTGCGAGGTTCGTGGTGGTGTTGCTGAAACGAAGCTTGGCGCGAGAAGGCGAATCTCCGATCGCTGACTCCGAGGCCGAAATCGCCATTGAAGGAGCTCTGGCGCTCGGTTTCTGGTCTGGCCCGGTAGTTGAAGGAATCTTTCTTCTCCATTTTCTCCCGAACAGCCGTCCCTACCAGATTCCAAACTTTCAGGAACTCGAGAGCTCTGACTCCGATCAGATTTCAGAGATTCATGATTATGAACCCTAATTTCCAAGGAGATGTACAAATCGATATACGCACGAAGCTGTAAATCGAAGAGAGAGAGAGAGAGAGAGAGAGAGAGAGATGGCGCAAAGAGAGAGGACTGGAAACTGCGAAGTCAAGAAATGGAGTAGGATTTTTCCCTCGTTGTGAAAAAAAAAAAAAAAAAAAAAAAAAAAAAAAAAAAAAAAAACCCTTTAATGAACGTGTGGGCTGGGCCTGACCCAATGTTGGGAGGACTAGATTAGCGCTATTCACACATTTAGTTTATGAATTAGAATTATATGATAGAATTATTTTTTATTTATGTGTATTTTTTATAAGAAAAAATACTATAACAAATTATAAATCATGATTTAAATAATAGTTTGAATCTTTCAACTAAATATCTCCAATGGTCCCAAATTTGATCTTATAAGAAGAAATTCTATCAAGTTAGGTCTAACTATAAATTCTCAATAATTTCGATATCATACTGATCAAGATATAATTCCCTTTTTTCTTTTTTGACTCTTTGCATTTCTTTTATTAGTCGCGTGGCGTTGTAAGAAGTGACTAACAAGATATAATTCAAAACCATTAAATCATTATTAAATTTTGTTAAATTATTTCTTCTTAATTTATATAATTCTCAATTCATCCCCTATCATAAAATTCTTTGAAAAAAACAGATGAGCTTTTTCTTTGTTTATGGGACAGAAAGTGACGTACTCATATAATTTCGTGAAAGCAAGGCTTTTTTTCTACACGACATATTGATCCCTCTCAAAGTGAATTACCCATGTATTCCGACCACCGCGGCAATCCCAGCTCGAACCCATGACTTCTTAGCTCTCAGGCTCTGGAAGAAAGCGGCAGATATGCTTGAAAAATAACACAGCAACCATGTCATTTTTTTTTTTTTTTTTTTCAAGTAAATTCTAAAAGAAGACCTATTTTATCAGGTGAAAAGAAATCTTAATAAAGAGAGCAACAAAAAGTTTTATTTGCAATGAATTTTTCTATCAATTGTCTCAATCCTTGTTTACAGTTACATCTCCTCCCAATCCTCACATACAACTTCTGTCCTTTTCCTTCCAAGGGGAAGGTAACACAGAAAATGATCACCAAGTGGCTGGTTGAATTTGATCAAACTGCCTTGTCTTGTATATCAGAACCCAAGTTCCAATGGTTTCCACATTCCAGAGTTGGACCAAGATATCGGCTTTTTGTCCTCTCGTGCGGTAGATGTACACCAACTTTCTTCCGAGCTTTAATTCTGAATTCCATGCACAGCTGAGTTCTGCAACTAGAATAACATTAGGCATAAGTAGCCAGAATGTGATTTTATAATAACGAAAAAGGAAAAGCATTGTTTATGTATTATTATTTTTCTTTAACTAAAGATGCATAGCCAACTGTTTATATCCCAACGATGTTAGCACCAAAGGAGCAACCCCTTTTCTACCCGGATCATCAACTTCATTAAATGATAAGAAAAATTTGAAGTTAAAAGACTTTTAGGAATCAAAATAAGGCCAAAACGGCTTACAAGATGAAAATCCACGAAAACAAAAAGGCTAGCTAGATATAAACCGAAAAGAGCCAACAGGTGGAGTGCAAGGTCCAAATCTTCCTGTGAGTAGACTGCAGAGAAGATGCCTCGTTAAGACTTTATTTGGTAAAACTCAAAGTTTAACGCTAGCTCTAAATCTTCCTGTGAGTAGACCGCAAAGAAGACGCCTCGTTAAAAATTGTTAAAACCCACAGCGAAAAAGTTATCATCTATGCTTATTTGAGGAATTAGAATTTAGAACAGCAAGTCTAGGTTGGATGAGAAAGTAAAGAAATTAAAGGCTTAAAGAAAGAATGAAAAGATTGCGGTCCTCCTCATTGATACATCATTCTGCATTCCGCCTTTCCTACTTTACATGATAAGTAAGAGAATTACCATCAAGTCAGGATTGCAGATGATAATCCAGAGTAAAGGCGTGAATATCAGATGGACTCGTCCCGGGCCTGACAACAACAATTAGAAAAGTACAAAGACAATAATAACTCAGTAATATCAATGACACCAAGTTTTTTTATTAAAAAAAAAAAAAAAAAATTAAGGAGAAATGATCCCATAAAACTCACCAGTCCCATTTCAAAGTTTTAAGAGTGAGCAATAAGATTAATTATAGTTAGAAGCTTTAAGCGCAGGTTACTAGTTTTCACCTCCACGTAGAAGCTTGGTAAATTCTCAGCTCCCTTAACTCTCAAAGTCTCAAAACCAAAACTACATTAACGACTACAATCCTCTGCTTTTTTATAACAAAAACCTAAAACCTTCTTCCTTTCTCTTCGTAACTGAGCATTTTTATATCAAATATATCCAATTATTAGTTTTACGAAATTGGACGCAAGAAAATATGATTTTCCATTCTTTCACGGGAAAAAAATAAAGATAATAAGTTTCTTCAAATTCCACGGTCCACAACTATCAGTACCACTTCTCTACGTCCAGAGCACCTGCCCCAAGACATTCAGAGTCAGAGATTACGGAGCACTTCCATTTAAGATAGATTCTTTCAGTAATGTTTTCATTTTCAAAAATGATAATAGGCTCCGCGGAGCCACAACTCTGCATAAACAAAGTGGTGGGCCCCATCCCCTTGTGGGGCCCACCAGTGTGTCTTGAGGAGTTGCAGCTCCGCAGAGCTATATAGCAATACTCTCTCATTTTTCAATAGTAGGAAAATTATTGATACAAATCATCATTACACCAGAATAATCACAAATCCAACCCCAAATAGTGGCGACAAGCCGTTTTGATTATGCTTAGATGCTTTCTTTATCTTCAAGTAGAAACATAAATTGACATTACCTTTTGTTGATAGTACCGTAGTGGAAGTTAAGTCTTCCAGCCCTAACATCTTGGACATACTGCAGCCACGGCGGAACATATAACATCATGAGCGGCTAAGTACATCTATCTGGTGGTAACTGGAATAAATTCTACACATTTCAGCACTCAAAAGAGATGTCATACCAAATTTAAGGTAACCAACATAGACGAAAATGCCAGAGAATTAAAGGGTATATCATCAAGTGCAAAAAGCCGGCATTCTGATGATTCGGGTCCTGGTGCAAACTGTGGTTTCTTCAACTTTGCTAAGAAGATTATATAAGTCTGTTCCATAAATAAAAGCCAAAAAAAAAACACACATAAACCTCTTTAAAAAAGTGAAGAAGAAATCACAGAGGAATAAGAAACAGTAAAGAGATCTTCTCCCACACCTGGCCAATTAAAGGGATGTCCAATTGAGCAAAAGGCGATAGCATTTCCACTTCTGCACATGCTTCTTCCCAGGTCTCCCTGATTGCCCCTTCTGCAGCTGATTCCCCAATTTCCATGTAACCGGCAGGAAGAGTCCTATTCAATAACATAAAAGAATTAGAATCATACGGACTATCAAGATTACTAGAAGCTACACTGAACTAGACGATGTTAGCAACCGATAATCATACATTTTCCCATTGATAATTTCCAACAGAAAGTTCATTTATGTCCGGACATACCAAAGACCATATGATGGTTGGATCTTCCTCTTGCAAAGTAAGACCTTATTATCGTGCTCAATGAGACAACCCACAACCTATAAGTATCACAGTCAACAAATATTGATTACATTATTATCAGCAAAATCAGAATAAGGACTGGAATAAAGGAGTAAAACAGAATTATCTTCAATCAAAACTAGAAGAAGCATGTGATATGACGCCTATTAAACCTTCTCCCTTGTTTCTAAACTCAGCTATCAATCGTCTTTCTAAAAATCACATTTCCTATATTATGTAACACTTTTCGAAAGAATAGGATGGCAACTTGTGAATGGTGAGAAGAACTACGTTCAAAATTTAAAATTGGAGAGAGCCAAACTTAGGTACAAAGAACGAGACATAGACTAAAGAAACGATTCAAGAGGTTAGCATATCCAGAAAATTCTTTAGGCTTCGTTTGGCAAGAGTGAAAGACCGATAAATAACTTAGGTGAGGAAAATGGAGAGCAAAGAGAGGACCTTTCTCTTATTATCTTTGGTACAGATTCCCTCCCCTAATCTCTCCATTAAAATTGAGGTTGTCTGAAGGATTTGAAATCTCTCACCCAATCAATTCCCTTCTCTTTTCCCTTCTACCAAACAATGACAGGTCCGAAAATCCATCCACTAATCCGCTTATCCCTATCTCTCCTACTTTTCCCTTCTATGAAACAAACCCTTCGTTTCTCCTAATGCTTTTGAAAAAAACATAAAAAACTGATAACTTCAACCAGTCTAGCCTTAGGTGGGGTATAAGATACAACTTGATTCAAAATCTTTAATCTCATCATAGGAATGAAGCCATGCATAACCTATACTCCACTCCCCTTACTGTTACTCCATCATAGAATGAAAGTCTTGAAGACATATTTTGCAACTTAATTTAACCGCTGAGGTTAACTTTTTTTTCTTTTAATACAGTGTGGGGCTATGGAACCATTGGGGTCGAACCCACCCAACCACTTGAGCTACCTCAAGTGGTCACTGAGGTCAACATAATATAACCAAAACTTGGTTATAGAACTTATTAAAAATCTGTTACACATGATTCCACAATTTTCTGGGACTTGAATAGTAAGTACAAGCATTCGATTTAAAACGATAAAAAACTGCCCAAGAAAGAACAACACTAATCATCTACCATAAAAATAAAAGTACATTTCTTTTGTTACCATTTTCGGGTTCTGATAAGTGATTTTGCCACAAACAGTGCAAATGGCTCTAATCTTCTCCTCTCCTTCCGGCACATCATGCTTCGTCGGGCCACCACACCATTGACAAAAATTGACCTTTAGAACATTGCCCTGAAAATATCAACCAAACATAAGAAAAAGAAAATTAAGAGAGAGAGAGAGAGAGAGAGAGAAACTCACAGCCGACTTGACTGAAACTGACGAAGAAGAAGAAGAAGAAGAAGTAGAAGAAGGGTCTCGTGGGTTGGACTCGGAATGGGCGCTGAAGCAAGGATTCCGGCGCGTGGAGGACACGCGCAGGAGAGAAGAAGTCGTGGGCAATCTTCTAACGAAGGAGAATCCGAAATTGTTGTTGTGGGGTTTCCAGTGGTGGGAAACGAAGCCTGAAGAACAACCCAGAATCTGAATCGCTTTCAGCATTTTTCTCTGCTTTGCCTTGCCAAGATTTTAACCAGAATTGAATTTGAATCCGACAAAGTGAATAGTTTAGAGAAGAAGTTGCTTTGCCCAACACCAAACAAACGGTCGTCTCGTTCCTTTTGACCGTGTAGACTCGGCGAGTTTGAGAGAGCTTCTTCTGAGTTCTGATACTGCTGTGACTCGTCGCGTATACAGAATACAGATTACAGACGGACAGTTTGGGTTTCTGTCTACTTGTCCAAGGCCCTGGCCTCTGGGCATTGCTTTGAATTCTTGGTGATGTTGACTTATGATCTAATTTTAGGTGGATAATTTGTGACTCTGATTTTTTATTTTTTCGTACATAATGCTATACGGAGAAAATTACGAGGATAAAGTGTTTTGGTTCATAAATTAAAATTATAAAATTAAAATTATTTTTAATTTATGTGTATTTTTTAGAAAAAATATTGTAATAAATTATGAATTGTGAATTAAAGAAAAATAGTAGAAAATAAGTTAATATAAAAGGCTTAAGAAAGTATATATGTCAATTTTTAATTATAAAAATTAATAGGTCATAACTTGTCAAGTTATTGTTTATAACCAGATAAGTTATGGACAAACTTATTAAGTTATGGTTCATAGCCAGATAAGTTATGGATAATTATGGACAATAACTTGTCAAGTTATAGTTCATAACCAGATAAGTTATGGTTCATAACCAGACAAGTTATGAACGAAAATAATAATTTGGCCTATTTATTAACTTATGTAAACTATTGACCTATTAATTTTAATTCATCTCAAGTCTTGACCTATTTTCTTCTTTCTCTCTTTAAATTATGGTATAAATTCCTTTACCAAACGCTTTCTAAATGTTTGGTGGAGAATATTGTAAAATAGAAACATTAGAAAAGTTAGAAAAATATTTTGTTAATGACACAATGGTCCATTTTCTCATTAGAAAATTACTATTAATTTTAAAGTATATGAGTATCGATTTTTATTTTTTATTTTTAATTAATATTTTTTTATTAATATTATTATTTGACTAAAAAGTATATTAATAAAAAAATAAGTGATAAAATTTCAAACATACATTTTAAGAAATATTTGACTCTTTTCATCTCAAATTATTAATGAAGCTTATTTAATTAGAAGAATCTTTTCATCTATAAAATTGTTGTTGTGTTTGATGTTTAAATCAATAATAATAGCTTTTGGTAAAAAAAAAAATTTAAGATTTATTTTATTTTTAAAATTTGTTCTTATTAATTTTACATCAATTACAATTAAAAAACTATTACATCTTTTTTTTTTTGGCGAGTATTTAAAAGCTACCACTCAAATTTTCCTCTGAAAAAAAGGAAAAAAAATGGTGACTTTTAGTTCTCAAGTAATGTTCTTTTTTTTTAGAAAAAATGTTAAACTTATACTTAGAGTGTATGATCTTATAGATTTAAATTTTTACCTATTATTTTTTATTAAAATCTCTTTTGACTAATATAATTATTTGATTAAAAAAGATATTAATCAATAGTAAGTGGTAAAAATACACTCTAAAATGTATTTATCTACTTTCTCCGTTTTTTTTATTCAAAAACTTTTCTATCCATATCGTTTCCTTTTTTTTTTTAGAACTTTCTATGAAAAATTGCATACATCTAGCTTAGCCAACAATAAGAGTGCTCAAAAAATCTGCCAAACTGTGAAAATCGTCCAATTCAAACCAAACCGCTCCAAATCATTAATTATTTTTAAATTATTAGGCAATTTAATCGGTTTTTTAATCTTTTTTAAACGGTTTGGGATAATCCGCTAAAAAAATATAGAATATAATTTTTAATTTTTTAAAATTTTGTATATTTATTTTAATTTTTATTGATCATAATAAAGGTTCTACACTTATAAAATACACTTTATCATATTTTTCTTAATTTGTGTTAAAACTTGAAATGATCAACTATTTGACATTTGTCATTTGTAAGTTATATTATAAACTTAAATCTTCTTTTTATTTTTATTAATTAACGATTATATAATTTTTATGAATCATTGAAAGTTTTTTTTAGTTTCAAGCTTAAACCACCCAAACCGTTTATGAGTGATTTGGTTCGATTTGACTTTTGTGAAAAATATCAAACCGCCTAAACCCCAAAACAAAAAATTATTTTTAGTTAGTTGATAGTTTCTAAAAAAAACGGTCCAAACCGACTGCAAGCACCCTAGCCAACAGAGATTGTAGACACCAGAGAGCACAAGAAGGAAGAAAGCGAGAGCAACTGAGCACAAAGAATGGAATTTTTCTCATCCTCAATATAAAACAAAATGAAGAACGGGGATAAATTCATCCACTCGTCCAGTCAATGCAAAACTGCATGCTACAAACCACAGCAGGCTTATTGTTAATGTTAATACAGAGTGCCCCACCTCGAAAAGTCAGACTCGCACTGCATTGCTCCTCAAGATTCTCAAAACTGAACTACAAATGTATGGATGTGTTACATCTACCAAGTAACAGCACGAGGAATAAACCAGCTGCAACTTGAAATAGCATCTAAGGTTTAATTAGCGTACTTTAATTTACCCCCAGCTTATCGCATAAAGATTGATATGCTGCACTGCAAAGCTTGAACTTCTCCTCCGCCACAACCTGTTTGAGTTTCTAATGTGAGTAACCATTATTTTACTCTTTCGATATCTCTGTGGATATACACACATACAAAAATGTATACACGTATTTGTCCAAATACAGCAGGAGACCCCAATTGATGATCTCAATTTTATGGTTTCCGAGATTGGTTTAGATGTTATTGGTTGTGCTCATCTAAAAAATTGTGTTGAGACTGTAAATGGTGATTTCTTTTCCTGGTTCGACATGTATGGGAAATGTTCTTGAGAAAACAACAAACACCGAAAGAGAGAACCAGGATGAAGGATTAGTAGCAAATGCCTTCATACCTTGGAAGAGCCTTGATGACGATCTGGATGCCAGTTTAGGGCACATGTTCGATATCTATAATTGCAAATTCATGAAAATTAGAAGGGGAGGAAGAAAAAGAAAATCAACAGACGCAAATGACAAAAGCAAGTAAAGGAATGACAGGAAGAATCTAGTAAAAGGACATACGCATTTTTTACATCTTCAAGTTTTAATGGACCATAAGCACTTAATCCAAGGGCCAGCCTATCTGAGGCCAGATCTGGCTGTGAACATTCACTCTCATATTCACACTCTTCTTCAAACCTATGTCTCCAATTCCAAGACCTCCCAGAGTACGTAGATGAGTTGCTCCATTGGGGATTCTCTCCATCAACAAACGACCAATAATAGAATCGGTTCCCACCAAATATGGATCTGAAAAAAGCCTCCGCACTAGTATCATTATCATCATCATCACAAAACCGGAAACCCCCTGACAAAACTTTAAAACCGTGAATATCAAATGGGACTTCAAATGAGGCTGGAATGGTTTGAGAAATTAGACCAATATGAATATCTAGCAATCCCATGCTAATATTTGGTAAAAGCTGAAGCAGCTGCCGATTATATAGCTCATGAGGTAAAACTTAAGAGACAGAGAAATTCTGCCAGAGTCATCTAACAAACTGCTCGACAAAGCTCAATTTTAGAGCTTCCATTCTCTGGAATATGGTTCGAGAAAAGTTTGTCCTCTAAATAGAAACCGATGTCCAGACAAACTTCATGATTATTTAAAATAGCAAGAGTACTAAAACTGCGTACTTACTTCTGCCCCAGCCCCGCGGTCCCCTATTGCAAGTCCTGGCCCTTCTAAAGTCATTGGTTGAGAAACGATTTCTAAACCATGAGGGGCCTCTACTTGAAGAAGGATCATCTTCGTCATCTTCATACTCCCTCCGTGGATTCTGTTGTAATAGAGTTATGATTAAAATCTATGCTAAAGTTTGAAAAACAAGCAATCTATGAAATGTGTTATCCTTGCAAAATCATTCATGGTGTAAATGTGAGTAGACAGAAATCTGAAAAACATTTCTTATCTTTACACATATAAAAAGACCTAACGCGTCCCCTCTTTAACAACCAACCCCCACTCGACACTCGCACGAAAGAAGACAACGAGCATAGCCTAACAACTATATAATGATAAAATTTATATCATCATAGAGGCAAACCTGGAAGACGAAATCTGCATAAGCACTGGCATTGCGCAGGAAGTCTTGTTTTGCGCGAAACCTTCGGTATCTTTTGGAATAATTGTGATTTCTCTGCAGACAATATTTGCTTTCACTGTTAGAAATAAATAGCATAATAGAAAATGTAAAATCATGCCGGACAATCGGCATAAATCTTCCACATTTCACGATACTCAATCACCACAAGAGCCCCAATTAGAATCACTTGTTTTCGCTCTATCCAAGGTCATGTATTCACCAGACATTAGAATTTCCAATTGTTTTCCCCTCAAGATCTCAACGAATCTTTGCTCTTGCCTTCTCCTAAACTAAATTCAAGCCTACAGCTAATGGAAATCGACCTCTCTTGCCAAAACATGAGCTGTATCTGTTCCAATACACATAATTATGTGTCTCCGTGCCTATAACTATCTCATTACCCTAAGCCTGAATCTAAATTAGCTCGTTCTCTGTGATGGATAAAAAAAAAAATTGCAAAAAAGCAACGAACTTTCAATCAAAATTCAAATCTTCATAACCTAGAACAGCAATTCAACAAGCTTTACCAAAGAAAAATCATTTTTATCGGAAAAATAGCAGAAATCATTCAAATTTAGAGAGAGAAAGAGATCAAAGACTAACGAATTCCCAATGATGGCGTCGTCGGCGTTCGAGGAAGGGAGTGGCATGAAAGAGGGAAGCCCTGGTGTAGATGCAATTGGGCTTGGAGCTCATGAGAGCCGTTTTCATGGCGGCGATATTCATTTTTAGTTTGTCTGATTGTTTGTTTTGCGAAATGCGAATTGGATTTTCCTCCGTCGGAGGAAAGACAAGTGGAAGGAGGGAAAAAGGAAAAGAGGCGACGAAGGGCGATACTAATAATAGATTTGGTGGGAACCGGAATCCGCTGCAGCCCCTGAAGCTACGCTTACGTTACGTTGCGCCGCCGATTATCTGGGCGATTTTCTGCCCACTGTAAGATTGAGCGAGTCGACTCAGACACGAATTTTTTTTTTAAATAATAATAATAATAATGCGCTCTCTTGAGTAGGCTAGCTTATGGTGATACCGGTTTTTATCCATTAAAATTAATTAAAATTCCATCATATTTAAATATATATATATATATCATCTAAACTAGCAAACTGACAAGAAAAATAATATTAGAAAATGAGACTATGGTCCTGTTTGTTTCCCTTCTCGTTTTCATTTTTTACGATTTTTGAGAATAAAAAATAAAAACGCGTAAAAAAAACGCGTTTGGCGTCAAATTTTTAAAAAATTAAAAACAAAAACGTTCTTGTTCTTATATAAAAATCTAAAAACGATTTATTTCCGTTTTCATTCTTCCGTTTTCGTTTTCTCTCTTCAGCAAATTCACTTTGCGACTGTGCGACTGCGCGCCCCCCGCTCCCGTCTCCGACTGCGCGCCCTCCCCCCAGCCTTCTACGACTACGCCCCGCCGTCTGCAACTCTGCCCCGCCGTCTGTGACTGCCCCCCCCGGGGTCTGCGCGGGCCGCCACCCCACCACTCTTCTTCGACTATCGTTAACATTTCTTCGACTAACATATATAGTGTTATATTAATATACTTATTTAATATATTTAATATTATTATTTATTTAATATATTATTATTTTAAATATTATTACATGTTTTCAGAAATTAAACCACCAAACACAATTTTAGTTTTTTTTTTTTAAACTGAAAACAATTTCAAAATAAAACTACTAAACGTATTTTCAGAAATGATTCCAAAATGAAAATAAAAACGTTTTCATTTTCATTTTCATACAGAAAACAAAATCATTTTGGAACCAATTCCAAACGTACCCACCGTTTTGTATATAAGAAGACGTTTGATTCATGAATTAGAATCATGCGATTACAACCATTTTCAATTTACGTGTATTTTTTGTAAGAGAAAACACTGTAGTGAACTATGAACCATGATTCAAATCATGATTTGAATCCTCCAACCAAACGTCCCCTAAATCTTACGGCTCAATCTTACAGGAAAACTCCTAAAACATAATTTTTTTTATTTGACAATTTTTCTGATAGGGCTCAAGAAGGTAGCATTTGACGGTTAAATTTTAAATTTGATCAAAATCTCGTTAGATTAAAAAAAATATGTAAAATCAACAATTTATGATGCAGATAGGGGTGTAAGTAGGCTGGGTAGGCTCGGGTTGAGCCTGAAATTTGGGCCGAGCTGCCACATTTGGGGCGAGTGGAATTTGGGCCGCAACATTCTCTATGAGACACAAACCCGTAACCCTTTGGGTTACCTCAGGTAGGCTCATTTTTGCAGGTTGTGTGGGTTGGGCTTGTGTCCCCTGCGGGAAAACTTAGCTATTTTGAGTTATTTGTCGTTTTAAACTAGCTGTGACGAAAAAAATGTTCCCAGATTTACAGAGCATTGGCTAATGGTTTCAGTGTGCGCTGGATCACTTTGTAGGCCATCAATTAACTCAATTTTTCTACTCTTATTAAAACCATAAAACCAACCTCACACTCTCATAGTACCTTGGTGTGATGGCAGACAACCTTAGCGGAATCGGGGACGAGGCTGACGGCACGTGATTATTCAAAATGGCGAGAGAGAGTCGGAGAAGAAGAAGAGGAACGATGGAGACTTGGGGAGGAATTGAGAAGAAGAAGTGAGAAATTTATGAGAACGAATCAGTCTCAGACATAGAGACTTGGAGTGAGCGACGGCAAATGATTGAAAGAAAAAAGGAAGAAGTCCTGAGCTATAGGGTTTTGTACATAAGAGGCAAAAATTCATGCGGCTGGGTCAGGGGTAAACGAATTAAATCCGCAACCCTACCCGCACGTTGTGGGTTGAGAAAATTGGAAACCAAAAAACAAAAAAAGAAAACAAAACTTGATAATTTTGGGAAGTGTAGGGTTGGATAGGCGGGGTTCTTCGAGTTTAGAGTAATTTCTTACAACCTTAGATGTAGATATAATGATCGAAAACTGACAATTTTCATAAATTTATTATTTCGGAACCTATCAAGAGAAACTCCTTATTTACTTTTATTAATTAAGAAATCTTTTTAAGGTGGTTTCATTTCTATCCTTCACTCCGAGTATGAGTGATAATTTGAGTTATGACATGACAACGTGATTTAGAACCTATAAGAGTTAAAAAACGAGTTCTATAGTGGTTAATTTAAGAACTTTGATCGAGTTATAGAGAAATTAAATTTTGTTAACCATGCATTAGATATGTCGTGTTTAGATTAATCTTGTTAAATTTGACGCATTCGATTGATGCTTTCTTTACAAGATTCATAAACGAAGAAACATAAAGGCCTCGTTTGTTTCGCTGACTCGAGTTTAGAATTCGAGTTTAGATGTGGTTTTATGTGAGAGCTTTTTACTGTAGCAAAAAAGTTAGATGTGACTGTTTATGAGAGCTTTTAACTGTAGCAAAACTCGAATCAGCGAAACGAACGAGGCTAAAGACTACCTGTTAACACAAATTGAGATGGTTAACTCCGCACAAAGTCATGTAAGTTTAACGCGATTAATAGAAGAATTACATAAATACTATTCGTTAATGTTTAAAGTCTGCAGACATGTCTTACCTTGTATTTCCTGGTGCATTTTATTACATTTATCCAAAAATTGACAACAACAACAAAAATTCAAAAGTGACTTAATACATTAATTGAAGTTTGAAAAGCAATTTAAAATTAAGTTTTTTTTTTAAATGCAAAAACTCTCAACCTAAATATATAAAATTACAAATTACGTAAATATTCAGAACTACATTATTTCTGTTATTATAAAAGAATAGGTTGTTTTCAGAAACAAAATCTTAAAATTGATCATCCGTATGGATGATTCTTTTTTAAATTTACACTTTTTTAAAGAACAACCCTGATAATGATCAACCTCTTTTATTTTGTTTTTACTTTTTATTTTTATTAGTAAAATCTTCATTTGCTTTGACAATACATTAGAATCTTTCGTTTCACACATTTCACTTCCTTAACACACAAATAGAAACTTTTTTTAAGTTTTTCTTGACCGGATATTTTTTTACCACAATATGGGATAACACACTACTGTTATTATTTTTTCAATTAAAAAAAATGTTGCATATGTCGATTTATTCTCTCAAAGCAAAATACAAGTAAAATAAATTTAAAAAAAAAGAAAAATCCTTTGAAGTTTGAAAGTAAATTTCATATGGGAAATTTTATTGACACTCCAAGATTTTATTAAGGCACCCCAATAAATTTAAAAATTAAAAATATTCTCTTTTTAAAATTAAAATCCCTAAAAATTTCATAAGTACCCTTATGTACACTCCATAATTTTTCACTCTTAGAAAACGGCTTATTAAAAGGATTTACTTTCCCTTTTTTTTTTTTGTAAATTTTTTCCTGTGAACGTAAACAAAAATTTCCATTTGAATTCAACTATCCTCCACGTAAATGAATCTTCTCCTCCACGATTTTTTTTCTTTTATTTCCATTTTGCTGTTACTTTTTGAACTTGAACAACTTTAAAATTAAATTTTTTTCAAATTCCTTGATTACGTTTACACGACTTAGCTCTTCTATTACCATCATCATGAGAAGAATTTGCACAGAGTTTTTTCATTTTTTTAAATTAAAATAATCATAAGAAAAGTCCTGTACAATACTTTTTGAACAAATGGAGGATAGTTGAATTCAAATGGATTTTTTGTTTTTGTTTTTTTGAACAATACGTGGAGGATAGTTGAATTCAAATGGAAATTTTTGTTTAATACGTCAAAAGAAAAGATTTCCCAAAAAAAACGGGAAAGTAAATCTATTTAATAAACATTTTTTTAAAAGTAGAAAAATATGGGGTGTACATAAGGCTATTTATGGAAACTACGAAGGATTTTAATTTTAAAAAGAGAATATTTTAAATTTTTAAAACTAATGGGATCATTGGGATGTATTGATAAAATCTTGGGGTGTTTCCCATTTCATATGGGCTTACGACCCACAAGAGAATAGGCGGCCCGACCCATATTTCTCCTTCCGCTCAGCTCATAAGCCTTGGACCTTGGTCCTGATCTTCAGTTGGACTTCTTCTGAAATTTGGGTCGGGAAAGGCTATTAGCAGTCATCAGATTGGATTTTTTTTTATTTTTGTTTTTAAAGAAAGTATATGGCTTGTCATGATTTTATGCATACTTATTATTCATATCATAAAAAAAAGACAAATATCTTTTAAAATGCATAGATCTTGGATTCTTACTCCTTATACTTGATTAATACTCTTTAGTCAAAAGACTATATTAGTCAAAAGGGTATCAATCAAGAATAAATGGTAAAAATCTTAGAACAATCCATTCAACGGGTGACTTCACCAATTTTTCTTATATCATTCTAAATAATTAAGTGTCATCATGGTCTTTAGTTTGCACTTATTGATTGAATGATAATTGTTTATTTTTTTAATGGAGTGACATAAATAATATATTTTACCATCTTGAACGATATTTTTGGTTTTTACCATTTTTTAGTGAGTTAACAACCGTTTTTTTTTTTCTTTACATATTTGCTGATAAATATCTATTTATTAGGTTTGAATACATTTTTTCTTTTACCAATAAATATGCTATTTACCTTGATCTTTTAAAAAATATGCTATTTATTTCAATTGTTTTAAAAATATACTATTTACTTCAAACACGTTTAAAAAAATGTCATTCACCTCTTTTTCCCTTTTTTAAGTTAACTAAAAAAAAGAAAAAAGAAATGAAACCTGTAACTCTAACTCACCTATTTAGTTTTGTGCCATCCTTTTAAAGTTTTGTTCTTCTTCATATAGTAAAAGAAGTTGAAAGTGTAAATCTTATAGTGCTTAAAAAGAAATAAAATGAAACCTTTATGTCCTTACAAAGGCACATTTCTCTATATTTTACAGATTATAATATCTAACATAGCCCAATGCCCCAAAAAGATTTCAAAATCTATATCTATATCTATTATAAGATATATAAGAAGGGAGAATAGGTTGAGTTGAGTTTTGTAATTCAACCTTTCATCTAATGGTTCACATTAATCAATCCTTATTTTACTTTAAGTGCAATGGTCACGATTTCTCCATATGGCTTAAGTGTTATCTCACACCTCATGCTTAAACTTTGTTTGTTTATTTTATTTTCAGTTTTTTGAATTGTATTACTACTATTTGACTTGTTGTATTAATATCATGAATACATTAGTAATATATTACGCTAACAAATTTTATCTTTTATATCACTATTAATTTTTATATATTAATATAGTAACATATTAAGTAGAGTTTATTGAAAATGCACAACATAATTTTATCTTATACTATTGAGTAGAATGTATTACATATTAGTATATTACTATTAGTATTTATATTGTCAAATATGGTTCTAATAATTTTTTTTTTTTGACAAATTCCCCCACTAATTTTTTTTTGGGTCAAATTTGTCCATTTTTCGTGTTTTGATATTTGTTACTTCAACTTCTCATTCGCTTCCTTCTTTTTCTTTAAGAAATAACTGTAATTTCTTAATTTTCCTCATTAATATATTCTTTTCTCTAATTTTCTCTTCATTAAAATTCTTAATAGAAAACATTCTTTTGCATTCTTTTTCAAAAAAATAAAAAATAAAAAAAATAAAAAAATAAAAAAAATAAAGTATAAGGTGCCGTAGGCACAATACCATACTAGTTATTATAAAAGAAATTTAGGGAACGTACTTCTCTCAACTCACATCTAGATAGAGTTTTTAGCTCAACACTCACTTCCAGAGTTTATACACTATTCTTAGATTTATGCTCCCCTTACGTTAATATAAAAGAAGAAAGTAAAGTATGAATCTTACAATATTATACTTTTAAAAAACAAACTTTAGGAATGAACATTGTTCTAGATTTCCCATTGTATAGTTGTGCTAATTATTTTTTAAAACTTGAATTTTCATATCACTTTTAACATAGTGATTGGTATCAAAGTATTATAAGTATTGTATTCCATATGATATCATCTCCGTTTGTGTGGTAGTACTATGAACATCATTTTGAGCAATTATATAAGCAAGCAATCAAGGAGAAAAAGGCCTTTTACGTTGTAAGTTAAATTAAGTGATTACAGAAGTGCAGATAACCAATTAACTGTGGAATGTGGATTGAATTGGCATTTTGTAAAACCCGGTGAATTGCAAATCAATTGCGGATTGTTTTAAAAAAGTAATATATCCAAACCAACCCGCACTTACACACGTATATTATATATAAATATATATATATATATGTATAAGTTATAATATGTTTTAAATATTTTAAACTTTTTAAGGTATGGGTATAAAGAGTTTTAATTTTAGAGACAATTTCATATTGGTACCATGTGTTTTAATATAATTATCTTTTAATATCATGTATTTTTTAGTAATTTTAAATTGGTACATTGACGTTTTAGAAAATTATTTTTTAGTATCTTGAGGTCATATTTTTTAAGACGTAAAATGTCAAATTTACCCTTCTTATTATTTTAACAAAAATTAATAAATTTATAAAAAAAATTCTAAAAGAGTTATTTTTAATTTAAAGCATTATTTTTTTTATTTTTATTTTTAAACTTTTTTAAAAAAATTAGAATTTTTCGGTTAATTATTAAGAAAGTAACTTTAACATTTTAAATTCTAAATAAATCGAATGGACACTCCTACCATTACTAAATTATAATAAGAGTAGCTTGTTGAGTATAAATAAAAGTTAATGAATTACATTTATTAAGCATGCTTTGGATATATAATCAATTAGTTTTGTTAATGCATTATGTCGTCATAGATACGTTGCTTTTCTTTTTCCTCTGATAAGTAGGGAGATAAGTTGTTATTCTTGAAGAACCATGTCTTTCATATAACACATTGCTATTGCTACAATGTCCATCCTTTAAGGCATTAACCATCCTAAATAAATAAAAGAAAAAGGTGGCCCTATCCTTTAGAAAAGGGCATTAAGAAAAGGAAAAGATCTCCTTTTGCCATACACGCGGGTCCAAACTTTACATGATAACCACATGACAAAAGTGAAAGGTCTTCACATGAATAATAAAGATGTGGTAATCAGATTCCATTTTGTGTTCCCTTAACTAAGCCAACTGATTGACTCCTCTGACTTTAGTCCAACTCATTGTAAAATCCCTACAATCATTCAACCTATCAAAGGAAATTTTTACGATGTCGAGTAGGATTCATGACAACGTGTCAGAAATACGGTAATTTCTACATTTTACGTTAGAATTTAAGATTTACAAACGTTATAATTGTATGAGTTATGATGGATATAAGTTGAACCTTTAAACATATAAAATTGTGAACTTGGGATATTGAATAGTTGATATTTCTCGTAGTAATAATTTAGATAAAGATTATCAAGTATAGTCTACAGATGCAAAAATAAGTCAACTATGTTTAGCATCAACACAAATTCCACCAAACGAACGGTCCAGATCGATTCACGGGTGAATTGTACATTTTATAAACGAAAATTATTTGAAAAAAAAGAAAAAATTGCATTACCACCACCCAATAATGGGTAGAGAATAGGTGACCACGTTGTATGGCTGCTAGTGAATATTTGGGTCGCACGTTGTAGTTCCCACACATTCCATAATCCATACATTCAGGAATTAAAGAAAGAATGTTCGACCAATTATAGAGGTCAACAATCATAGAGGTGGAGAACGAGAAAGAAGGAGGCGCGTACAAGTGTGAATGGACGTGACCGCACGTGAACAAAGACTGGCGACGTGATCTCTGGGCGGTTGAGGCTGCGTTGGCAAACATTCCCTTTTTCGATTTCTCACCCAGTTGTTATGATTATTACCACCACCACCCCTCCCCACTTGAAAGCAAGTGATTAAAGAAGGCATCACATTTAGGACCCAAAAGAATTTTACCCTTCTTAGTGGGGCCCTTTTTTCGTCTTTACCATTTTGTGTCCCTCGTGAATGCGGGGATTTTACTACTTTTGGGGATCAATTCTTGAAATGGCATTTTTGAAAATTTGAAATTATAATTTTCTTTTATTATGAGGCAAATTAATATACATAGAGAATCCTAGTTATATATTTACAAACATTTTTTTTTTTTTTTACTTGCATTAAGTCAAGAACTTGGAGATGTGCATAGTTTAAAACAATGCCAAGTAACATACAGCCAAAAAAAAAAAAAAGGAGAAAAGAAAAGAGAAAAAAAAGTAAACTTAACAAAAATCATAAAAGTGAAATCTTAAATATATGCATAAGAATTACTTTCATGAAGCCAAGTAAAAGTCTCTCATTTTCTGGGTAATGAAAGTTTACATGATTCACAATTTCTTTATTCCATCAACCGAAAAGTATCTTATCACATCACAAACATGTTTTTTTTTTTTTTTTTATGATGATTGTGTAAATTACGCATTCGATGATTTCTCAACTTCTAATTCCTTAAATCTAATAAAAAATTGAATAAATTTAATAGGGTACATTGTAACAATTAATATAAGTTTGAGATGTTAATTATTAACATTAAAAATTTAAAAGACAATTTGTTAAACTGCGATAAGTTTGAGGGACATTTGTGCTAACCCAATATTTTATGTATAAGATTAAATCATAATTAAATTGTTATAATAAAAGGTCTATATATATCTCATTATCAAAATGAGCTTCAATAAATGGCATAATAAAACTATAATCCACACATAACTCCACCGTCACAAAATTTAGAGTAAAAAGAAAAAAACTTTATCCAAGGGTTAGGAAATTTCTTTGTTAAAATTTTCTTTAAATATACGCGTGTAAGCTGCAATACTATTAGCACTTAAAAAAAAAAAATCCTATTGATTCTCCAATATTAATTTTCTCTTCAGAAAAAGCAAAATGAAAATAAAAAAGGCATTTAAATCATAATTCACACAGACACAAATTTTGATTTTCCTAAGATGCCCTTGGTCCGAGACAGGCGGACTGGTGGGCCGTTCCCGCAAATTAGGAAGGGCATATTCGTCCACAAAAAAGCAGCGACCGAAAGCGAGCCAGCTGTTTCCACCATCAACGTGACGCGTCATGGGGTCCCTAAATCAGATATTCCAATCCGACGGCCAGGATTTCTCGAGAGCGAATTTGGGGTTCATTTAAGCTGAATTTCATTTGGGTCATCTTCGTTCTTTTAAACGAGGGCGGGCACCTCAGGCACAGAAATCTGTTTGTTGAGACAAAAGAAAAACGACACAAACAGAGAGAGAGAGAGGAGAGACAGAGAATTTCATTTCATTTCAATCCCTAAGGTACAAACTTTGCTTTATATTCTTGTATATTTATCTTTCTTTGTTGTGAAAGTTGTAATCTTTGTTGGGGTAATTTATCAGAGTGATTCCTTTTGTGCCTGCCATTTTCATGATTTTTCAACCCCATTTGGATTTATTTTAATGGGTTATGATTCTTTGGGGAAAAAATTGGTTTTGCTTTATCAGCTAGGAAATGTATGTAAAAATTAATGTTTTCATTATTTTTCCTTTGTTTGTTTGTTTGTTTGATTTTTTTTTTCTTCATAAGAAGCTGAATCAGTTTGCCTTTTTTATTTTTTAAAAAACAACTTTTGGATGTATGGTGGAATTTTGTGGCTGAAATTCAATAAGTCGTTGGATTATCGAGATTATTATTATTATTATTATTTTTGGAGATGATTTGCATAATTCCCAAGAAGAGCAATCTCTTTTTATTTGAAATGGATACACTTTTTATGATGCATGTTTCTGGATTGCATTTTTTAAGTGATCGAAATGAGAATCTTGTATTATAACACTTGAAATAAAATCCAATTTAATCATATTATTATGTCAGATGTATAAGTACATTTTGATTACTCGGATGGTCAACAAGTTTGGTTTATTTTCTGCAGAAATACAATAGAAAATGGCAGAAAGTGAGGACATTCAGCCCCTCGTCTGTGACAATGGAACTGGAATGGTCAAGGTAATGATCCAAAATCTATTCCTTTGTTTAAGGATTCAAATTTTTTGATTGCATTGATTAAGTTGTTTTCAACAACTAGATGCTGATCATTAATCGTTATGTTTGTTGGTGTGAAAATTTTAGGCTGGATTTGCCGGAGATGATGCTCCGAGGGCCGTGTTCCCCAGCATCGTCGGTCGCCCGCGCCACACCGGTGTGATGGTTGGTATGGGCCAAAAGGATGCCTATGTAGGGGATGAGGCTCAATCAAAGAGAGGTATTTTGACTCTCAAGTACCCAATTGAGCATGGTATTGTTAGCAATTGGGATGACATGGAGAAGATCTGGCATCACACCTTCTACAATGAGCTTCGTGTTGCCCCGGAGGAGCACCCGGTTCTCCTGACTGAGGCACCCCTCAACCCTAAGGCCAATCGCGAGAAAATGACTCAGATTATGTTTGAGACATTCAACACCCCGGCTATGTATGTCGCCATCCAGGCCGTCCTTTCCCTCTATGCCAGTGGACGTACGACTGGTACGCAATTCGATAGATTGGCCTTTGATTGCTTTGTTAGTATTCTTTATGAACATTTCGTAAAATGTTTGGTTATGTAGAGCCTTTCATTGAAGGTGATGAAAATTATAACTAACATTATTCATTGCCTATTTAGGTATCGTTCTTGACTCTGGAGATGGTGTGAGCCACACGGTTCCCATCTACGAAGGCTATGCCCTTCCACATGCCATCCTCCGTTTGGATCTTGCAGGGCGTGATCTCACGGACGCCCTGATGAAGATCTTGACGGAGCGTGGTTACTCTTTCACCACCACAGCCGAGCGGGAAATTGTGAGGGACATGAAGGAGAAGCTAGCCTACATCGCTCTTGACTATGAGCAGGAGCTGGAGACGGCAAAGACCAGCTCAGCTGTGGAGAAAAGCTATGAGCTACCTGATGGACAGGTGATCACCATCGGTGCTGAGAGATTCCGATGCCCTGAAGTCCTCTTCCAGCCATCGATGATCGGGATGGAAGCTGCTGGTATCCATGAGACCACATACAACTCCATCATGAAGTGTGATGTTGATATCAGGAAGGACCTCTATGGCAACATTGTCCTCAGTGGAGGATCCACCATGTTCCCGGGTATTGCTGATCGGATGAGCAAGGAGATCACAGCGTTGGCTCCGAGCAGCATGAAGATTAAAGTTGTTGCACCACCGGAAAGGAAGTACAGTGTCTGGATTGGAGGGTCCATTTTGGCATCCCTCAGTACCTTCCAACAGGTATATATGTTTCTTCTTGAACCCATAATTTGTTCGTGTACTTGAATTTTTTATACCATTACATTCTTTTGGTGGCTGATATTAATTGGTTGTACATAAGACTTATATATATGGCGCACTGTCACGCTAGAGAAATTTTCATTCAGCAAATTGCTGTACTTGAAATTACTATTGCATCCTTGTGATTTGTGATACTTGTATTTTTGGTTTCACATAATAGTTGTAGATAGCATAGCTTATACACATTCAATTCTATGAACATGACTGTAGCATACTAGAAACTCTAGAAAAGGTAAAATATGACATCTAAAATGAAACATCATAATTCTATAGGAAAACAGCTGAGATGATCTGATAATTTGTTCAGATGGTAGATCAAAGTTTTCTTTACTGAATCTTTCTGTTTCCTTTTCCCGCCGTAGATGTGGATTGCAAAGGCAGAATACGATGAATCTGGCCCGTCGATTGTTCACAGGAAATGCTTCTAATTATGTTGATCAGAAGAGGTGGGTAAGCAATCAAGAGAACTCACACTACACATTTTGTATTACAAAGAGGCTTCTAATTAAGTGGCTGCATAATTTCCTTTTTCCTATTTCCTTCCAATTTTTCATTCATGTTTATTTCTCTGTGTTCCTCTTTTTATTATGTTGGGAAATTGAGCATGGGGTTGAGCAAATTATGATTAAGATTAATTTTTTTTCAAACTACTTTGTAGAAAAAGTTGTGTATTGTTCACTCATTTGGTCTGGTTGAATTGGAAATTCTTTTTATTATATGATGTTTGATGTTAAATTATAATTAATAATTTTTCCCTTTAATTACTTCTTTGTAGAAACTTCTGTATGGTTACCGATTTGGTTTGGTTGAGCCCGAAATTCTTTTCTTGTTGTATATTCTTTCTTGATTTGTACGTATTTTACCATTATTTCTTCTATAATAATAATAATAATAATTATTATTATTAATATGATCTTAATTATTGCTCTGGACTGCAGTCTCCACGAATGGAAATACATTTTCTTTTCCAAACAATAAAAAAAAGACATTTATGTATTATGCAATTAAATACCGGGGCCTTTTAATATGTTGTTGGCAGTCATAATTGAAAGTAAGGTTGAACTTGGAGGACCCTTCAAAAAAAAAAAAAAAGAAAAAAAAAAAGAACTCGAAAAAAGCATGCCATTTCACCCATATTACAGAACACGAAGTTTATTGTAAAATGTGTATGTCATTGTGATTGTAACATTATTCTTTTATCCAAAAGCATCGAAAGAGATATAGGCACAACAGAAACCGATTCTTCAAATTCTGTGGATGTTTGGTACTTAGATTCGTTCTCTAATTTAAATTATGATTTGTGGTTCGTTACAGTATTTTTTTTTATAAAAAATACACGTAAATTAAAAATGATTCTAATCACATGGTTCTCGGAACCAAACATTATTCTTTTTCTTTTCTAACCTAACAAATTGCACATGGAATATTTCACTATTTAATTGGTCACAGAAAAGCAATGATGCCTAATCTGTCTCTCTCTCTCCCCTCAAATATATATATGTATATATATATATATATATTTTTTTTTTTTTGAAAGACCCTCAAATATTTTGATATAAGGAAATACATTAATGATAATAAATTAGATTGATACTTCCACATATTACGGATTACATGTTGGTTTCTAAACCGGATTTTTAAAAGAAATTATGGAGAAGCGTAGTATTAATCGAATCACATAAATTAAAAATTTAATGCGATCATTATTTCATGTTAATTTAACTACGGAGATATTAAAAAGAAGAATAATAATTTTACCGTCGTTCGATTATGACGTTAATCTTAAACTTCTCTAACACCATCTTGAGTTTCTCAACACATGAGATGAATATCACGTTTCTCAACACCGTCTAGGACGTTAATCTTTAAATTTCTAGAACACCACGGTTCTTTCTCAATGTATCTCCGGATTAACATGAACTCGAACGTGTGGGCGTTCTAATGAGTTTCTCAACACATGAGATAAATAAATAGGAATGCCACCTATAATTATCACTCACTTTTCTCAAAAATATATGATAGCACTTAAAAAATTTTCTTTGGTTTTACTTTTTATTCTCCCATTTCTTTCTTTTTCTTTTCTTTGGAAATCTCCCTTTTTGTTTCTCTGAGGAAAAACAAAACAAAAACTGTGTTCTTCTACAAGTAAGTGTACAGCTGCAAATTTATTCTTCTTTTCCTCATGCTGAGGAAACGTGACGTTTCCTCCCACTATCTTTTTTTTTTCTTTTTTAAATTTTGAGTGAGGAAACGTGCGCTTCTTAACTGCACGTTTCCTTTCTTATATATATAGGCAAAGTCTCTGGTCAGGCACTTGAAAAATGCCTGACCAGAACGGCACTTGTACATTTATGTTGAAGTGTGTATATTTATATGCGTTTCGTGTATATATTTATATGTAAAGATGTATATAAAAAATGGTAATGTATATTTTATAGTAATTAAGTGAATATATAGCATAAAAATATGTATATTGGCTGATTTATTGTATTTCATGTTAATGAATGTGAACGACAATGTATATTAATTATAGAAACATGTATTTTTGTAAGTAATTAAGTGAATATATAGCATAAAAATATGTATATTGACTGATTTGTTGTATTTCATGTTAATGAATGTGAACGACAATGTATATTAATTATAGAAACATGTATTTTTGTAAGCAATAAGTAAACACATACAGAAATAAGATGTATATTGACTGATTTGTTGTATTTCATGTTATTAAACGTTGTGTGGAAGTTTTTTTTTACGTAATGCTGTAGGAAACGGCAATATACATGTATTTCTTATTTAAATTAAGTGAACATATAACATATCAATATGTATATTGATTGAACTTGGTTTGGAAGTTATTTTTGCTTGAAAAAGTCTTTAGTCATTTGAAGATTGAATATTGTTGTCGTTCTAACAAGCTGTAATTTGCTGTATGAGACATGTGGATCCGATATAAATAAGTAAATAACTGACAGAGTAATGTGTACAATGACTTAGTCGTTGTTGTTCAATAAAGTTGTATTGTAGTTTGCTTGTACACCAAAAAAAACATGCTAATGTAACTGTAAAATATAAGCTGTGTTGTCCAATTTAAGTTCTTCACACTATGAACACCATTTATGGAAGAAAGTATGGTTGTTCCAACCACAACAGTTGTTGTTGGCATTAAGATAGTTCCACTAGCAAACAGTAAAAACTTCCTAATAAATATGTCATCAGGATGCTTATCATCTAACAAGTCATCCTCCAAATCAGACAACTGTAGGTGCCTCCTTCCATCCATTATTTCTTTCTTCCAATTATTCACTTCCTCATCCGTGCCTTGCTGCTCAAAGTCGTCCCCCCCATCAGACAACCCCATAACTTCACCAAACAACTCCGTTGTGAGGACAAACGTCTTCCCGCAAATAGTCAATGAGCAATCCTCCTCTTTAAAGTTGTCCACCATCCACATAATCAATTTGTGACATATGTGCACGCTAGCCATTTCCAACAACCCCCCAAACCCCATTCCTTTAACCAACGCCCTTCTACGCTCACTAAAATGAGCACACATCTTACCAAACCGCAGTGGGGAGCATCGTACATTTAATTTTTGGTTAGAAACCGAAGTGGACAAATGCTCTTTGTCCTCTTCTACATGATCCACACTCTGCCTTTTACGACCCCGTTTAGTCACCATAGCTTAATTTATGCTTCCCATGTCACAGGATGCATCTGTCCTCAACACATTTTTCCAAAAGATTAAAATTAAAAACCCACAAGAAACACCAAGATGACAATAGCAATAATCACACAATTTTATTCATACTACTTACACGATATATCGCATAGCACACTTTTAGTATAAAACTCTTTCAACTCGAATAAATTATACTAGCTTGTAGCATCCACAAACATCCACGCCTACATACTTATTCAGCAAAATCAAAAATAAATCCACTTGCATTTTCGGTTTTCACTTTTTTGTAAAATACTCTTTCAACTAAATCAACTAATACTAAATCAACTAATACTTTTTTGTAAACATCTTCGGTTTCATAGTTATTCAGAAAAATAATAAATGAATCCACTTGTACTGCATCTATATAAGTTTTCTACTATTGGGACGTTTCACTTTCCCAATAGGTTTTTTGTTTACCACATGTACAAACCCTATAACTACCAAATCGAAGCAACGAATCAAAATTAGCTTCAAATAACCACAAATTCGACCCACTCATAGTGTTTCTATCTTCCAAAACGTCCCCTCTATTTACAATTTTCTGCGTAACTTGATAATGGAGATAATTCGATTTTCCATTTTCCAGATAATTCGAGTCTACAATTTTCTGCAAAACGCCCCCTTTTAACCATTTTTTCCATTTTCCAGATAATTCGAGTCTACAATCGAGGTATAATTAAGTTCTTTTTTACAAATGCTGTACAATTTAAAATGTTTGGAAGATTACCTCGGGAGTATCTCCGTCGACGAAGTGTTAGGCAGAGAAGATGAACCGGTGGTGTTTGAGGGGAGAGAAAATGTTAGTGGGTTTGGTTGTGGGAGTGGTCGTTAGGCGGCGGGTCTCCTTGTCGGCCTGTCGGAAGTCACCTCCGGCAACACCCCTGCGGAGGCGTTCGAGGAAGCGGCGACGGAGACAGAGGATGAAGTGGTGGTGTTTCAGGAGAGAGGAAATGTCAGGGTGGAGGAGGAGATAGGAGTGGGTTTGCTTGAGGGAGTTGTCGGGATGCGGTCCGCCTCTCGGAACTCGTCGGTGCCGATCTGGCTGCGGAGGAGGTCGAAGGAGCTCGAGGAAGGTCGAGGGAGGTCGAGGGAGGTCGAGAGAAAATAAGATTTGGGAATGATGCTGCTCGCGCGTGCATTTGAGAAAGTGAGAGGTTTTGGAGAAACAAAGAAACAAATCTACACCGTTTAATTCCAATCTAACGGTCACAATTGTCTGACCGGATCAGTCAGCCATTTTATACCTACCGGACTAAAGACATTTCCTATATATATATATGTGTGTGTGTGTGTGTGTGTACACATTAATGAGGGAGAGAAGAAAAAAAAAGTGGAGAGTAAATTCATCCATATTAATTTAAAATAATTTAAAATTAATTTTAATATTAATTAATATATGTATTTAGAATTCTCAATACTAAATTTATATCATAACTTAAGATGATATATTCAGTTCACATTAATCTTATGGAGTCGTTAAGAAGAACTATGGACATCATAATTTTAAGCTCCAATAATTTTGACAATTAATTAACATCTTAATTAATATATCAAAATTATTAATTCCAAATTACTCCACTATAAATTTAGAATTGCACTCTTAAAATTGTAAAACAATTATGTTCACGAAATTTGTGTTGTCCATTGATATAGTCACTACATACGAATTAATCATCCATAAACGGTTCATAATTAAAGCTAGGTATTTTCTGTTGATCTCCTTAATTATATCTTTCTCCATAAGTACCATTGATCCTCTAATCCAATCATAAAATTGAGTGCTCTTATTATTCAATCCCCGAATCAACACTTATGGGAACCGTCCATCTACTTTATTATAAAGGAACATATTTCATATTGTAAATTAATATTCCCGGCTATTTATTTTACTATGCTCCCAATATACCAAGACTTTGACACTATTCACATGTGTCATTACTCAATATGTCAAAGAACATAATATCATAAATAGGAGTCTATTAATTACGCAGAATTAAGATTAATTCATATATGATCATCATTGATTAATATTGAATA